TAGCTTTGCCCAGAATGCCCCTTTGTCTCTCTCTCTGACCACCCTGCTTTGCTTCACTGAGGGAGAGAGGAGTGAAATTTACAGGCAAATTCCTGTCTCTCTTCTCTCTCTTTTGCTTTCCTGGAGCAGGTAAAGTAGAGTTTACAGAAGCTGCTGGGGATGGGGAGCTACACCTGAACCCTTTCGGGAGGGATGGAGAGGCTGGAATGTAGAGGTCTATAGTTGCTCTCCAAAGCTGGGGTGATGTCCTGGAGTATGCTGAGGCAGAATTACATGCTTACTTGACTACCAAGGCTTACAGAATAGTACTAAAGTAAAAGACAATGGGACTAAATGCAATGGTGACTTTCCCAATGAAAATGGGAAAGCAGGTGGAATTAATTTTAAATCTTAAACTCAAGATTGTCCAAAATAAATACTAGAAAGCATCAAATGTGTGTATATCTCCATCCTTTGAAATCTAATATATATTTTCCATTTGGTGCTTTTTAAACTTTTTGTTTGTTTGTTTTTGAAACAAGATACCATCATGTAGCCCAGGCTGGCCTCAAAGCCACTGTGTAGTCAGGTTTTGTGCTCTTGAACTCTGTTGGTGGTGGTGTTATTTGCTTTTGTTTTTTGAAACAGGGTTTCTCTGTGTAGCCCTGGCTGTCCTGGAACTCACTCTGTAGACCAGGGTGGCCTCAAATTCAGAGATCAGCCTGCCTCTTCCTCCCAGATGCTGGGATTACAGGTGTATGCCACCACACCTTTGTAGCTTTTTCAACTGGGACACTAAAGCTTCACTCAAAAATTTTGATTTGTCTTTAGATTTAGGGAGGAGGCAGGCACTATTGTTTCCAGTGTGTTTGACAATGTTGTGCCCAAACTAAGTATCAGATTTCTCACTAGTGTATGAGATTAATTAATCAAAAGTTCCTCATACACTAGTGAGGATTCAAGCCCGAGGAGCCAGAGGTGACTATCAGTGGGGTTCAGAATGGTGGCAAGGTCCCCTGTCTTCACCAGGGATTCAATAAACCCTTGTTGGCTGGCTAAGTGAGTGAGGAGTAGATCAACCATGGGAGTGAGAACCACACATGGATTTCAGTCTATTTCTCAGAAGTGAGTAAGTGTGAACCAGGCATGCTGGAACACACCAATTGAGGTTAGAAGACCACAAGTTCTAGGCCAGCCTAGGCTACATAACAAGACCCTATTTCCAAATAAATAAATGGGGTCAGTGAGATGGCTCAGAGAATCAAGTTACTTGCCACCAAGCCAGATGATCTGAATTTGATCCAGGACATACATGGCAGGTATGAGAACTGGTTTTGGCTCTTTCTCCCCTGATTCTACAAGTGCTATAAGACACACATGCATGCACACACACACACACACACACACACACACACACACACACACACACACACACAGATTTCCCCTACTCTCCAACAAACATTTTCTTAACCCCATATACCCAAACTACTATTTAACAAACATGATCAATACTGAAAAATATTGGGATTATTTTTTAATTCTGTAAAACCTGGGGTGAACTTACGCTTGGGGCATGATTTAACATGGATGGATCCTAATTATGAAAGACTTGAAGTAAGTGGGGAGGAAATCAGGGGGCTAAGTGTCTTTCAGATGTGGGTTTCCCCTCACTGATATTCTGCTTTATTGGAAAGAAGGTTTGGTAGATGAATCATGAATCAAAATATCCAGGACGGGGTACCCCTTCCAGATAGTCTGTGATGTTGAAATCTGTGAAAAGGTCTAAGCAACATGGTGTGAAATACACTTCCCACTGTGAGGCTATGGTGTGTCTTGCGGATCACACCGGCTGCAGTGTGATGGGCAGCTGAGGCACTGGGGGCTGAGGATGGGAGTCACTGTAGGAAGCAGCTGCAGATGGGAGTGCTGTGGTACAGGGGAAGAGGATGCTGACCTAGGAAGGGTTTGGGATGGTAGGCTGGGCAGCACCTGGCTTGTGCTGTATCTGATTACATTCAGCATGTGCTCTGTGTCATGACAGTGACTATCTGACACTGTTCATTGGCTTTTCTTGGTTGCTTTGTTTACCCACACACTCACCAACCCATTCATCCATCTACCCATCCATGCATCCCACCCACCTGTCCATCAGTCCTTCAATTCTTCTGCCCATACTTTCCTAAATTTAGTATTATTGTTTTAAGAATTTAAAATTTTATTTATTTGTATGTGTAGATGTGTTGGCTTTGCATGCCATAGGACACATATGAAGATCAAATTACAACTTGCATGCAAGTTTTTGTGGTTGTTGTTGTTGTTTTTGTTTCACCCTATCAGTCCTGGGTATTGTGGAACTTAGGTCATATGGCTTTGGCAGCAAATATTCTTACTCACTGAGCCATCTCATTGGCCTCTACTTACTCTTATTTGTAATAGAGAAGTGACAAAACTGTGGAGTGGGCCCAGCTGTGTTGAAACTTGATTCTTTTGCTAGTAAAGCCATACATTAGCAAAGAATCCTGAAGTCTCAAGGCCTCTGTAAATGATGGCAGCCTTTGCTGGCTGTCAGGAAGATGGGATTGGTGAAATATATAATTTGATCGGAATTCATTCATTCATTCATTCAACCTTTCCACTCTCTACTGGGTGCTGAGTTTTTTTTTCCAGAAGCTGAAGGCTACAAAGTTAACTAAGTCAGAATAATTAAAACAAATTTTTATAAGAGTTATGGATAAAGTGCCAAAGTAGAGAAGGATAGGCAGGGACCTTCTCATGGCAGAGCAGGGCTCTAGGGAGAGGCATTTCTTCTGAGACCTAAAGCAGCCTGAAGTTCAGAGAGCAGAAGGAACAGTTTTAGACAGACTAGCTTGTGCAAAGGCACTGAGCCCAGAGCAAGCACCATCGTGGCTGGAGGGTGAGAGCCAGTGGGCATGGCTAGAGGGGGCAGGTGGAGGCTGGCTTAGTGATTGAGATTATATATATATATATATATATATATATATATATATATATATATATATAGGAGACTCCCACTGTGTGTGTTTGTGTGTGTGCATATGTGTCTAAGTGTGCAGTTCAAGTAAAGGTCAGAGGTCAACAAAGGGACAGTCTCCATCATCCATCTTGTTTTTTGAGTTAGCTCTTTGCATTTGGCCTGAAGTTAACCAAGTAGGCTGCACTGGCGGCTGGGATTACAAGTGTACACCACAGTGCCAGACTTTTGTATGAGTTCCGGGATTCAAACTCCAGTCTTCATACTTGTGCTTTACTGACTCTGCAATCTCCTGTGGCTACTGGATCATTAGAAGGCTCTCCTGGTGTCTAGGGAAGAGAAGGTGTAGCTTTGCTGGAGCCATAGGCCTGTGGATGGGTGGGCTATGGAGGGAAGAAGGAAGACTAGTACCAACTCGTGGGATTGACAGAATTCACTGATGGATCAGACATGGGGTTGTGGCAAAGGAAAAAGTAGAGATACACAGGATCTCCAGGCCCACCAGCTTGAGCCATCAGGGGCATTGGTACTAGCGTCTGAACTGGGGAAGGGTGGGTTGGCCAAGAGGGTCAGGAACTGGAGAGTTCCCCTCACTCCCTGCCCTGTCTCATCCTCTCCTTCAGCAGGTGGGTGGCCCACAGGGTGGGGTATTATCCAAAGCCTCTTTCTCATCTCGCCCTGGTTCTGATTGTGCCTTCAGAAACTGCAGACTCACATGCCAGACAGGAGACCCTTCTGCAAAGGTGAGTGTATCTCACAGGGACACTGCGTCACACCTCTGATCAGGAGTCTTGGGCCATTGGGGCAGAGCCAGAGCAAGGGTGACGCAGAGCATGGTAGAGCTGCAAGGTGGGGTGAAAAACAGCCCCATAGGGCCTTGGCTGTGCTACCAGAAACCAAGCCACCTATAGAGTGAGTTTCCAATAGCAAGCCACCCCAAGCCATATTTTCATTCTGCCTTGGAGTTCCCAGGTGGATAACTGTCTTTGGCTCTACATCCCATTTGTCTTTCGGGATGGAGTAGACTTGAAAACTCAATTGAAGAGAAAGAGATAGGGGACCTCACACTATGATACAGTGAGACTGGACAATGAAATGTTCACATTTCTCCATCAGGTAGGCTTAGAAAATTCCAGACTTCTGTATTCCGTACAACCACTCTTCCTGATAGCAATTCTTCCTCACCCCCAGCAAGACCTCTGGGCCCAGTCTGGCCTTCTTTCCTGCCTGGATTATTACTAAAAGGAAGCTAACAGCCCCATTCCTACTTCATATTTATCAGGGTAGTAGAGGAGGAGCCAGGCTGCTAAGGTTGGTTCATTTGTGTGTGTGTGTGTGTGTGTGTGTGTGTTGGGGTGATGCATGTGTGTTCATGTATAGAGGTCAGAGGACAACTTTGAAGAGTTAATTCCTTCTTCCACCTTTGGTTCCCAAGAATCAAACTTAAGTCATTAGGTTTGTTGGCAAGGGCCTTTACCCTCTGAGTCATCTCATTGGCTGGAGGCTGCTGAGGCTTGAATGTGGCCTTAGCTAAGTTTCTTAACTGCTTTGAATCTCAGATCCACTTTCTATAAAATGATGAAAGTAAGGAATACCCACTTGAGGGGTGGGTGGTTGGGGAGATGGATCAGTCAATAAAATGCTTACCGGGCAAACATGAGTATGCAAGTCCAATCTCCAGAATCCATATAAAAAACACTCAGGTATAGTGGTTCACACTTGCAGTACCATTGCCTGGATTCTGGGCTTTGCTGAGCTGAGCAGTCAGCTCAGCTGAATCCAGGAGCTCCAGGCCTGTGAGTGATCCTGTCTAAAGACAAATTTAGGTGCTGAAGAACAGCAGCTGGTGTGTTCTCTGGCATCCACATACATGTACATGTGTGCACATACACCCACGAATCGCCAAGACTGAGCCAGTCCTGGGAGTGTCTTTGTTTTCTTCTGAGCCCTTCAGAGGATCAGCTGCTCCTTGGCTTCTCAAGACAGGCTAGCCTCTCAGGGTTCACTTGGAGAGAGGGGAGTGGGAACAATGCTCGGTGACATTGCTCCCTCTATCGGGTTCCAGAGAATAGCAGGGCCACATCTCCCCGTGGGCACCAGATACACCTACCGATTCTCCAGCAACACTGGCACCAGCTTGAATGGGGGCAGCACGGGAGGCAAGTGGCCTGGGCCTCCAGGGCTTGGCCATCCTTGAAGCGCTAGGCCCATGTCAGATGACCTTGTGGGTAAGTGTCTGCAGAGCTAGGAGGTTGTGGTAGCACAAGGAGTTGACACAGTCCCTGAATTTCCAATCTATCTAATAAATAGAAATCTTTACAAGGTATCTCAGACTCAGGAGGTGAGGTTCCCAGGAAGGGGTGTATGGAAGAGAAACTATTTTAGTTGCAGGTGATAGCTCAGTGGCCCAGCAGGAAGAAACAGATGCACAGATATGGGGACAATTTAACTGAGGGTGAAGTGTGAACGTCCAAGGTGTGGGTGAGTCAAACAAGACAAAGCCTTTGACAGAGTTGGACCTGGGCTGGGAATTGACTCCCTACATCCCCAGTAACCATATTGGAAGTGAGGTGTGGCCATGCATACCTGTAGCTGGGCTATGGGGCAGCAGAGACAGGAGGCTCACTGGAGCCAAAATCACAAGCTTCAGATTTAAAAAAAAAAAAAAAAAAAAAAAGTGGAGAGTTGGAGAGTGAAAGGAAAATATTCAAAGTTGACCTCTGGCTTAGACACACACACACAGAGAGAGAGGGGGGGGGAAGAGAGAGAGAGAGAGAGAGAGAGAGAGAGAGAGAGAGAGAGAGAGAGAGAGAGAAGGAGAAAGAGAGAGTCTGGTGGAAACATGTCCAGCTGAGGCTCTAGTCCTGCCTTGTCATTCTTTCTGCTAACACTGGCCTTGCACTTCCTGGTCCACAGGCTTAGGGTAAAGGTGAGCCATTAGACGCTGTGGTGTCAGTCCAGGCAGAACAGTGGTCTCAATTCACTGGGTGGTTGAATGTTTGTTTTTGTGGGGTGTGTGTGTGTGTGTATGTAATTTGACTCTGCAGTTTAAAAGCCTGAACCTTGTAAATAACACATGTCAAAATATTGGACACCCCTATAACTTTAATGGTATTATGCAAGCTGTTGTATTTTGTGTTTAGCTATTTTACTGTGCTAAGGTATATACAACATGAAGTTGTCTATATTAGTGGGTTCAGTGGTACTGATTACTTTTACATTGTCCATTTCTAGAATGTTTCCAGAACCTTAAACAGGTGCATCAATCACTGACTCCCTGAATCCTCCCCTGGCCCCACCCCTCCTCTCCTGAACCTGGGGATTTTCTTACTTTTGAGACATGGAGTTCCTAGTTGGCAAGCTCATTTTCCTCCCTGCCTCCTTTCACTGGTCTTCTGGGGGAGCTTGTCAAATGGCTCAGTGGGTAAACCACTTGCTGCATATAAACATGAGGATGTGGGTTCGAATCCCCAGCACTGACCAGGAAAGCTGGGCTTGGGCATGCACCTGTGATTCTAGCCCTGCAGATATGGAGAACAGAGGGTTCCTCGGGGCTCTCTGGCAGCTTGTCTTGCCCAAACGGTGAATTCCAGATTCAGTGAGATATTCTGTCTCACAACATAAGGTGATGACTCAACCTCTGGCCTAGGCACACCTGGGAACTCCCACCTCACCCCAGCCACCCCACACACACCTGTAAGATTAAAGCTCTGGGATTAAAAGGGTGTGCCACATCTGAAGAATAAACACTTTTCAAAATTTGCTTTTTTCCCTTCCCAGTGTTGGGTGTAGAGTTCATGATTTTGTGCATTCTAGACAGTCAACCACTGATCTATATCCCCTGCCCAACTTTTAAAATTACTTATATTTTTCAGATACTATGTAGCCTAGGCTGGCCTGGACCTCAAATGTGGCCCAGGGTGGCCCTTGAACCCACATCTTGCCTTTGTCATCTCTGGCCCACCCCAGGTCTAGGATTCCAGGCACGAACCATGCTTCTCAGCTTTACATGGGTTCTGGGATCACAGGAAACACCACTATTCTTGATTTTTGAAAGCCTATTTTTTTGTTGGAATAAATACACATACAACGAACCCTGGTGATGCCCGGCCATCATTTGCATACATTTGAATCCACATGCATCCATTTGCATGTGTTTATAGGTTATGTTCTGGGTTCGAAATTAGCCATCTAAAGTAGCAGTTGACACTGCACTTGAACTCATCTCATTGGCAGAGTTTTCATTAATTTATTTCTGTGTGGGTGCACATTTGGAGGTCAGAAGACAACTTGTAGGAAGTCAATTCTTGCCTTCTACCCTGTGTGTCTCAAGGATCAAACTCAGGTCATCAGGTTTGGCTGCAAGCACCATTTCCTTCAGCCACTGTAGATTCCCGTCATGGGAACCCTTCTACCAGACTTTAAGATTTCTCTGGGTAAAATGAGAGTAAACATGCGGCAGGAAGCAGCCAGCACCTGGCCGCTTCTATCTTAGGACTGGAGTCTCTGGGCAGCCACGACCCAGGACACAGAATTTCCTCTCTGAGGAAGGGACCTTTCTATCATGAAGGACGCTGAGAGGCCATCACTTCACAACACTCTTTGCTTCAGCTTCCAGACTTCCAGGTGATATCTGTTCTGGGATCCCAGGTGAAGGTTTTGAAGGAGTCAGAGAATTTGAGGCAAGACCTGGCCTAGGAGTTTGTGTATGATTCTGTAACCCCTTCTCACAACTAATGGGCTCTGGGTACAGTGAGCCAGGCCAAGAAGGGGGATGCTAAAGAGATGTCACTTTGGAGTGATGGTCAAATAAGGGTACAGCGTTTCATTATAGCCCAGGTTGGTCCCAAATTTGTTACATGGCCTTGAGCTCCTGATCATTCCCCCTCTGCCTCCTGAGTGCTGGGATCGCAGTTATGTGCCACCACACTTAGCTTATGTTCGTGCTTTGACTCTGTCAGATGATAGGCCAGATCACCAATGAGACAGGAATTCTCATGACTCAAAATAACATGGTCAGGTGGCTTCTTTTCTGACAGAGGCCCTCCTCACTACTGCCTGCTGCTCACTCATAGCAGGTAGAGAGTTCATATCTGCTAGCCACCCAATGGGCACAACTTGGGGGTTTTGGATGGCTCTGATCTCCATTTCCCCTGAGGCCAGCTGGTTTCCCTTCCCCCATTGTCTGAGGAGGTAAAAGGCAATGTCCTGCCTACCCTCAGGCTAAGCTGCCCTTTTGTGACCCAGCCAAGCCTGGAACTCTGCCTTGTGCTGGTTTCCCAGGGCTCCCTGACATGGGCTCAAAGCTGCAAGGGCAGTCAGCCTGAAGACCGCCACATCTGACAGATTCCTCTTCCTTTTTTATTGCAAATTCATTTGTTAAAAAAATAAAGCCTTTGTCTAAGAATACAGGGACAGAACAGGGTGGGAGATACTGGCCAGGGGCAGATGGGTCCCCTGAAAGGCTTAGGGCTGTTTCCTCTAAGGGGCCTATTGTCCCCCACTCCTCATCAGAAATGCTAAGTCAGGGGCCCTGGGGATTGTCACTCTCCTGGGACCAGACTGACACTTGTATTCTGAGAGAGTACCATTAGCATTTCTCTAAATCCAGGGTCTGAGATCCCAGGCACTGCCTTAGGATCCCCACACTGACACCAACTGGAGAGGTGGAAATGGGGACAATTCGTTTGCTCAAGGGCCTGCATTACTGGCTTGTGGGGTTGGAGTGTGGTCATTGCCCTTTGTCTTGGATCACCTAGGTGTCCTGTATCTACCCGGGGATGCAGGCCTCAGCACCCCTCCCCCCACTTCCCCTTACCTTCCAAGGACCTGGCATTGACCAGTGAGAGCAGGGCCCAAAGGCATGGGTCAGTTCTGCTCCTGGCACCTTCCTGGCTGCTGTGTGCAGCCCGCACTCCTGGTCGCCTGGTCTGAACGATTGTAACCTGGAGTCTGAGCTCACACAAGCTAGGCTTAGCCACCATCCTGATACACCAATTTGAGAACAGCAGAGAGAGGCAACCTAATCCGTGCAGCATGCAAGGGACAGAGTACCACATCCATCTTTTGGGTACTGGCATGAGCTTTACAGGAAGAACTGGGGTACAGAAGAGGTCTGTGTGACCTGAACAAGCTGTCCTGGGCAGGTTGTGGCCTTGTCTCAGTCTGGTTCTGTGAAGATGGTCTGAAGAAGAGTCCTTACCTCCATCAGCGCTTGAGGGGCTACTTGGTACCCACAATCTGATCATCCCTGCTCTTTCATGGCTAATTGTCCTCTATTAGGGAGCGAGTGCCTTACTTGAAGTGTGTATTGTTTTGTTCTTCTTGGAATCCCAGGTGAGCACAGGGTTATAACTGACCTATTGCTGCACCTCCAGCCACGATGGATGAGATGGTTTGTACAATATTGTACAATGTACCATGCTCTTCCAGTTGGGGGTGACTACACCCCACAGGTGCATCCTTGAGGGAAGTCAGTGCAGAAGGCTTTGGAGGAATATGCTTACTGGCTCAATCAGTAGCTTCCTATAGGTGCTATATAAGGTTCAGGCCCATTTGATTAGGGACACTGCCACATACAGTGAGTGGGCTGCGCCCTCCCGTTTCAATCCTCAGTCAAGACAATCCTTCAGGCCAGTCTGATCTGGGCAATTGCTCAATTTATGTATCTTTAAGTGATGGTAAACATTTAAGGTTATAAATGTCTATTTCAAATTAACAAAATATGTATGCCACCCAGTCCTTCCTGTAATCTATTTATAAAGGTTAAGCCTCTATTACAAAAGGGAATTTTTCTCTACCTCTTTGTCCTTTACAGGTGTAAGTTAAAACCAGTTACAGTCAGACTGGAGGGCTCTGAGTATAACATCCCTCCACAGCCTCTCAGCTTGGATCCAGTTTTCCAGACAGATTAATTAATTACAGGGATAAAACCTTACCTAGCCACCTATGTGCTTAAGGCAAGTAACTAAAGACAAATTTTGTCTACTGAAATAGACTAAACAGACAGCCCTCAAGTGCTCAGAGATCTAGAGAATATGGCATTTAAAATGTTTCCTTAAAAAGCTTTTATAACAGAGAGACAGGCCAGCTGCTGGCACCACCCATTTGCTCCAAGAATACTGGTGGAACTGAAGAAGCTCCACCCACAAAAGTAACAACACTAGCCACTGAGAAATCCTGCCTTTCCATCTTAACTGCTGCAAAAGGCTCTAAGGACTGTGGACAAGAGGGCAGTGGAATCGACTTTCTCCACGTTGCTTGGGCCAATGGTAGGTAAGTCTTCCAAAAGCTCCTAATCCACAGGTCTCATGCCATCAGCAGAAGGCAGATGTCCTTAAAGCCTCTAACCTCAACAACTGTGGAGGATCTGGGGGTGGCTGTCCATGCTGCCAGCTAGTAAGTCTCTGTTACTCTCTAATCATTCAGGTAAAATTTTATCCTCAAGAACTCTGATGCTTTTGACCACTGGTAGTTTTATCAGCTTAAAGCAGCAGCCAAGGTTCCAACTGTTACAAAACAGATTTCAGAAATGGGTATTTTAAGGTTGCTTCTGTTTATAGTCTTAACACTAATCAATTAAGTTTTAATGAGCTACTAATCCAATTCTGACAGAGTACTAAACACCATACTATGCCACTATATAATCATAACTATTACTACAAGCTCAAAATTAAGGTGCTTTTCATTGTGCTAAAGGTCTGTCAGTTGTATGTGTTAATTCTTTCAGCCAAATCATTTCTAACATGAGTATGCTGCTAATGTGTCTTAATATTTATGTTTTCACAAACTCAAAGGATTCTTGTAAGTTCCAGGGAGCCGAATTGGACCCATCCAAACAGGTCAGATTCACTTCAAATAAATATTCAACCTTTCCCTTTTCCCAGGACTCCCTTCCCTCACCTTGGGAACCCCTCAATTCTCCCCTCAATACCAGGGCCTAAGCTTAACCTTGTCCTCTGCTCTGCGAACATCTTGCCAGGCCTCAAAAAGACATCAGAATTCCATTCTGTCAGGACTGCGATGAAACAACCAGCTACCAGGATATGGCAGCACCCCAGCAGGAAGCAGTCTTGAGAACTCAATATCTCTATTCCTTAACCTGCCACGCCCAACCCCCCACCTTCTTAATAATAATAAGAGGTGGGAATGTTGGAAACCAGCAGTCGGCTGACCCCACACATACACACAGGGTACTCAGTTATGCATGCACAAGTTTCCCTTTCAAAGCAAGGGCATTTAAAGCAAGCGCACCACGTGCGCCCCTCTCTTTTGCCCTTCCTTTCTCTCCTCTCCTCCGCTCTTCCTCTCTTGCTCTCTCTCCCTCTTCTGCTCTCTTGCTCTCTCTTCTCTTCTCTCTCTTCTCTCTCTTTCTCTCTTTCTCCCTCTTCCTCTCTCTCTCTCTCTCCTGCTTTCATTTGGCCACCAGCTACCCCCCCTTTCTCTCCCCTCTACCAATAAACTCCACGTGGGCACTGAGTCTCGTGTTTGTGTTTCACAGGCAATAATTATAGCAAAAGAACAACACCAAGATGTGTCGAGTTGACAACAGAACCTGACCAGCACACATGCTGTGGTCCACAGTAAATGAGTCCGATGCAACAAATCATGCTTTAATTCTGTCCAGTTGTCTGGGGGCCCAAGTCTGGAGTCAATGCTTAACATAAAAACTGGTTTTCACAGTGACAGACTCAAGGCAATTTCCATGGTTCTGAGGCCTTTGGCCTTGGAACCAGCTGAGTCCAGATCTTAGGCTCTGCTGTAGCTGCATGCTGTCTTGTCTGTACTAAAGTGGGGTGGTGGTGGTGGTGGTGGTAAGAGGTCCCCTGTGGTGTGTGGCAGGAAACCTTGTCTCTGTTCTAGCTGTCTTCATAGCTGAAATAATGTCCATAGGCAAATGCCAGGGGAAACAACAAATGCATTTGTATTCAGAAGCTACATGGGCACCAGAACACAGAAGTCTTGGAACAGGGAAGGGGAGAGGTGGTAGATTTTTAGGAAATATAAGTGGGGCTGCAGAAAAAGATGGGGACCAGGTAATACAAGCCTGTAATCCTAGCCACTAGAGAGACTGAGGCAGGAAGGTTGCTGGTTCACGGCCAGCCTATGCTATGTAGTAAAACTCTGTCTTTAAATAAAGAGAAAAGCTGGAGGGGATGGTTCATTGGTTAAGAGCACTTGTTGCTCTTCCAGAGAACCCAAGGTTCAGTTCCTAGCAAACACAAGTGACTTACAACTGTCCTTGATTCCAGTTGCAGGAGATCTGAAGCCCTTTTCTGGCCTCTGGGCACCAAGCACATACACAGTACACATACATGCAGTCAGGCAAAATGCTCATACACATCCAATTAAAAAGTAAATCTCAGTTGGGCGGTGGTGGTGCATGCCTTTAATCCCAGGACTTGGGAGGCAGAGGTAGGCAGATCTTTGTGAGTTTGAGGCCAACTTAGTCTAGAGAGTGAGTTCCAAGACAGCTAGGGCTGCACAGAGAAACCTTGTCATGAAAAACAAAAACAAAACAACAACAAAAACCTTTCTAAGAAAGAGAAAGGAAGGAAGAAAAGGGTAATATAGCTTAGTGAGAGTGCTGGCTCAGCATGGGAGGTACCTCAGGTCCAGTTATCAGTAATGCAGCCCCCTACTCCCAGCCATAATAAAACGTGGGGCTAGCTTAATTGGTGGAGTGTTTGTCTAGCATGCATCAAGTTCTGGATTCAGTCCCCAGCAGTGATAATGACACCTGGAGTAGAGGCTGGAAGATTAGGAGTTCAAGGGTTTGGGACAAAGTCTGCCTTTCATCTGTGCTGGAGTTGCTGTTCTCTGGTAGGGAGACACCTCATGGTTTCAGTGAAAGCTTGTCTGACATGAGTGGATTTCTGGTACTGGTCTGGGTGCCCTTGGGGTGTCACTGGGTCAACAGATTCTGGATTCAGTGGGAAGTTTCAGAGCTCAGACTGATCTTGAGCCTCTTCTATATGAGCTCATCTGCCTGTGGCTTTTGTCCCCAGGAGACACCCTGGAGCAGAGAGAAGTGGGAACCAGGTGTTCCCTATGGGGAGGTCTGCAGGACAGAGTCACTTTGGCCCTTATGACCCCCATCTCTTCACCCACAGTGCTGGCCCGCAATCCTCTTGACTACATTTTCAGTGCCGGGCAAGTGGTCCACTTGCGTCCCCATCGCTCTGAGCCACTCGGAGCCTTGTGCAGAGCTGTCCAGGGGGCCACAAGTCTAAGATGTTTGAGGAGGTGGACAGAGGTGGAAGGGAAGGGAAGGGCAGCGGAGTGGAGGTGATACAGGGGGCTAACTGCTCCATTGGACACCCCAGGTAGACATCCTGGGCCAGTGTCCCACCATGTACCAGAGCCAAGGGGACCAAGGACTTGTAGCTCCTCCCGAACACTCAACCCCTGCATGGAATAGTAAATGCACACCCCCTCCAGTTTCCCTCCCTGCCATCCTCTCCCTGTCCCCTTTCTTTGTCCCTTCTCCCTTCCTTTCTCCTCCACCATCTCCTCCTCCCTTCCTCCTTCAATTGCCTCTGTGTCCCAAGTGCTAGAACTAAAGGCTTGTGCTACAGTGTCTGCCTGCCTCCCTCCTTCCTCTTTTCTTTTTTCTCTCCTCCCCTCTTCTTCCTCTCTTCTTATCCTTCCTGCTTTCTCTATCCCCCTTCATCCCTCTGCCTAATCATATCTTCTCCATCTTTGCCCCTCCACATCTTTCTGTAATGACAGATGTGTGCTCTGGACAATGACCACCTGAATAAGGAAGAAAGGGTTGTGCTCACACCAACCTTTATTCACACTGCAAGCACCACACCTACCCCTTCTGACTGCCACATCTCTCCTGTCTCTAAGCTCCTGAATGCTGGACTTTCCCATTCTAAGCTCCTACCATCTTCTACCTGGTCTGCTATGTCACTGCCCAGGTGGGTGAGGTCTGCTGTGGACCCTTAGCCCTTTTGATTGCTGCAGCTCCTGCTGGTGTACTGCACGAGGCTGCCTGTGAGGAGCTGTACACAGCCAGACCATTATTCCAGAAGTCCAGGGCTGTGCACACACTGGTACTGTCCTCCATTACACAGCTGCACATGACAGTCCCCCAGCCATCACAGGTGACTCCATCCTTTCCACGTGGCATCACCTTGGCCATGGTGGGGAGCTGGATGTGAAGACCCACAGAGCCCCCACACAGTCCTTCCCTGATGGTATACCCCCAAACTGTCCCAGAAATGGTCACTGTCAAGAGCTAGCCTCTTCAAGATGTTTCTCTGGGCTCTCTGCCAGCTCGCTTCTCTCTGAATTGTCTTCAGATGAAATCTGGTCTGAGCTTTTGTAGGAAATTTGCTTTAAATTCAATGACTGTTTTAGTCTGTCTATTTTGTGGACAAATTGATTCAGGGTTCCCGCTTTTCTAGAAAGTTCCTGTGCTATGTCTCTTTGTATAGTGGTACATGGAAAGAGTTGAATAAGGCCTAAGGCCTATGTCTGAGGCAAAGAGAAATACTTTTGTTTTTGTTTGTTTGGTTTTTGTCTTTTTTAAGGAGACAATTACTTCTTTGAATAAGGAAATATGAACAATACACTTTGAATTTTTGAATCTATTATTATTTTTAACCTTTATTTTTGTTTTATGTGTATGTGGGTGTTCTGCCTGCATGTATGTCTGTGTACCATGTGTGCAGCACCCATGAAGATCAGCAGAGGGCATTGGCTCTCCTTGGATTGGAGTTCAGATGTTTGTGAACCACCATGTGGGTGCTGGGAATTGAACCTGGGTCCTCTGGAAGAACAGCCAGAGTCTTAACCACTGGGCAATCTCTCCAACCCTGAGAACATTCTTCTGGTTTGTTTGTTTGTTTTCCCACTTTTTTTAATTAATTAATTTTTTACATTTCAATCCTAGTTCCCCTTCCATTCTTTCCCCCTAGTCCCTCTCCCACCTCCCATCTGTCCCTCAGAGAGGGTGAGGCCTCCCCTAGGAAGTCTACTGAGTCTGTCCCATCATCTCCTTGAGGCAGGACCAAGGCACCTCTCCACCCCCACACCCTTGAGTCCAGGCTGGGCAAGGTATTTCTCCATATAGAATGGGCTCCACTAAGTCAATCTGTGCATTATTGTTAGATCTTGGGCCCACTGCCAGTGGTCTTATATATTGTCCCAGTTACACGATTGTCACCTATATTAAGGGAGTCTAGTTCAGTCTTATGCAGGTTCCCTATTTGTCAGACCTGAGTCAATGATCTCTCATTAGCTCAAGTCAGCTGATTCTGTGGGTTTCCCCATCATGGTCTTGACTCCTTTGTTCATATTATCACTCCTCCCTCACTTCAATTGTACTCCAGGAGCTTGACCCATTGGTTAGTTGTGAATTTTGCATCTGCTTCTATCTGTTTCTCGATGAGGGTTCAAGCTTCTCTGGGGTTATGGATTGTAGGGTATCTTTTGCTTTATGTCTGATATCCATTTATGAGTGAGTAATACTATATTTGATTTTCTGGTTTTGGGCTACCTCGCTTAGGATGTTTTTTTCTAGTTCTGTCCATTTGCCTGAGAATTTTAGGATGATATTGTTTCTTACTGGTGAGTACTCCATTGTGTAAATATACCACATTTTCTTTATCCATTCTCCAGTGGAGGGGCATTTAGGTTGTTTCCAAGATCTGGCTATTACAAATAATGTTGCTATGAACACAGTTGAGCAAATGTCCTTGTGGTGTGAATATGCCTCCTTCAGGTATATGCACAATAGTGGTATTGTAGGTTCTTGAGGTAGGTTGAGCCTAATTTTATGAGAAATAACCATACTGATTTCCACAGCAGCTGTACAGGTTTGCGCTCCCACCAACAATGGAGGAGTGTTCCCCTTTCTCCACATCCTCTCCAGCATAAGCAGTTGTTTTTAAGTTTAGCCATTCTTATTGGTGTTAGAAGGAATCTCAGAGTGGAATCTGTCAGATGTGGGGTTGGTGAAGATCTTTTCCTGTTCTCTAAGGAGCTATTTTGTCTTATTGACTATGTTCTTTGTTTTACAGAAGCTTCTCAGTTTCAGGAGGTCCCACTTATTAATTGTTGCTCTCAGAGTCTGTGCTACTGGTGTTGTATTTAGGAACTGATCTCCTGTGCCAATGTGTTCAAATGTATTTCCCACTTTCTCTTCTGTGAGGTTCAGTGTGGTTGGATTTATATTGAGGTCTTTGGTCCATTTGGACTTGAGCCAAGAACATTATTTTTACTATCACTTTTTTGTTACTATTTTGGGTTTTTGAGACAGAGTCTCATGTATTACAGGCTATCCTTGAACTCACTGTGTAGCAGGAGATAGCTGTGAACTCGCTGGGATTACAGGCATGTGCCACTATGCTTGGCTCTTGTTTTTGTTTTGGGGACAGGGTTTGTTTTAAGGCCTAGATCAGTCCCAACTCTCTATCTTTTTATGATTTCTATCATCTTAGTTTTCCTTTTTTCGATGCTCAGGATTGAACCCAGGGCCGCGTGAAAGCCAGGCAAGTACTCTACCATTGAGCCACATCTTCACTCCTGCTAGAATTAATCTTTTTTTGAAAAATACCTTAGCAGGGTATTGGTGGCTCACTCCTTTAGTCCCAGCACTTGGGAGGCAGAGACAGGTGGATCTCTGGGGGTTCGAGGACAGCCTGGTCTACAGAGTTCCAGGACAGGCACAAAGAAACCCTGCCTTGAAAAAACAAAAAAGGAAAAAAAAAACCTTAACTATGGGTCTGGAGAGATGTCTTATTAGGTAAATGCATGGGCAAGGGAGTTCAGGCCCCAGAAACTACATAAAAAGCCAGATGGAGAGTTGCTCAGTGATTAAACACATGCATTGTTCTTGCAGAGGACCTGAGCTTGGATCCCAGCACCCATGTTGGGTGGAGTACAGCCACCTGTAACTCCAGCTCTAGGGGATCTGGTGCCCCCTTGTACCCTTGCAAGTACTGCTTACACACCCCAGCCCTCAGAAGGCATAGGCAGGCCAATCCCTTGAGTTCAAGGTCAGCCTGGTCTACAGAGTGAGTTCTAGGACAGCCATGGCTATACAGAGAAACCCTGTCTTGGAAAAATAATGCTCATACCCACACATAGACAAATACAGGTTATTAAGAATAAATATAAATCTAAAAAAAAATGGTGGGCATGATAGCTCATCTGTAATTCCAGTGCACAGGAGGCAGAGCCAAGGGGAGGAAACTGTCTAGGCAAATTGGCAAGCTCTGGGTTCAACTGAGTGTCCCTGCCTCAGTACATGTAAGAGAGCAATCAAGAATATCTGGATTTTGGACTTCACATGAACTCATATGCATGCATATCAACACACATGTACATCCACATATATGTAAACATGCATACATATAACACACACACACACACACACACACACACACAAACCCAAATAAAACCCAACTTTCTTGAGATGTGTTTTACACACTATGGGAGCCACCTGTTTAGGCATCCAGTCCAGCTGGGTGTGGTGGATCGATCACACTAGCTCTGAAGAGGACAAGGCAGGAAGCAGGAAGACTGGTGAATGTTCAGGACAGCAAAAGCCAAAGCGAAGCAAAGCAGAGAGTCTGATCCAGCATTGGCCCTGGCTTACTCAGAGGTGCACACCCTCATTGTGGTCACTTTGGAGTGCATCATTCCCTGAGGCAAATCCTGCTTATTAGCCATTGGCCCACTATGCAGCATGAACCTCATTGTTGGAGACTTGTGACCTCAGCCATGGGCTTCTCTGCCTGGATTTCCTCAGCTCTGAATATATGGTATACTGACTGTTTCCCTACAAGGGGTTAAGGAAATGTCACACCCCTTAGCTACAACCTGTGAGTGGTATTTATGAGTAACATTCATGCCCCTGCCCTGGTGCTTGTCATGGAGATGAAGTGGTCTGGTCTCCAGCTTTGACACAAGGGTCCTCCTAAGATATAAGTGTGATTCTGTTCTTGCACCAGGCCCATGGTTCTGGGGATAGAGTTATGACATGGCCAGCTTGTTCCTGTCACCCTAAAGCTAGCACTTCCTACAGAGAGGATCATCATGGACAAACACACACACACAAGGTAGCTTGTTTTGTTTTTGGCAGGAGTCTCATGTAGTTTATGTTGACTTAGAACTTGCTGTATAGCTGAAGATGACATTGAACTTTTATTCTGATGTTTTTCCCTCCTAAATGCTGGTGCTACAGACACTTGCCATCATGTCTGGTTTATTCCATGCTAGGGTGTAGGGCCCTGCATGGACCCCTGAAGCACCTTGAGCAAGCCTGAAGCTGTTGGCCAGAACTCCTTGACTCAGAGCTATTATTGGTACTCTTCCTGTTTTGCTAACACATACCTAGTGGAGAGGAGCTAAGCTTGAAAATCCTGTTATTTTCTACTGTGCTGTAAGTCAGTATTTAAGCCTGCTCCATCCCTTCAATAGATGGCATTAGGCATTCAGCATTCTGACATTGGCATTGAACGAATGACCCGCTGTCTTGTCTCTTTATTTCAATCTCTAGACCTTTGCCCAATTCATGGAACAGATCATAGTATGGGTGCTACACTAGGGTATTGAACCCAGGTCTTGGTGCACACTAGGCAAGCAGTTTTCACACCAAGTCATATCCCCAGGCCTCTCAGATAAGATCACCTTTGCTGTACACAGTTGGTAATAGAACCCAATGTACTCACTCTGTCTGACAGATGGGTGCTTAGGTTACTTTTTGTCTTTGCTATTAGCATTGCACATCCCCCGCCTGCTCCCCTGCCCATGCCCTGGGAATGGGCACCTCAGTAATGCCTGCTTGACTTCATACATGCCTCAGACATGCTGAAGGACTCATGCAGAATTTGAGGGACAGCTCCCAAAGCCCTCTGACTTTAAGAGTTTTGCCATCTCAAATAGAGACTACAAAGATATGAGTCCCAGCAGCCTTCAGTATGAATGGGAGGGGACACTGTCCCAAGCCACTGTGGCCACAGAGCTGCATTAGTGAGAAAGCTGTTTGTGGCTCAGCCCAACAGCTTCGAGGTAAACTTTTCCAGCTCCAAGCCAGACTCTGCCTGGAGCCTGAGCACCCCTTCCCTTCTCTCCCCTTCTTATCTAGTTTCACCAACATACCTAAGCCTTTGCTCTGTGCATAGGCCAGAAGCTAAGGACTTCATCCATGTTATCTAACTCAACCCTAGGAAACTTCTTATCTCTGTGCCCATTTTACAGGTGAGGAAACAGCTTGCAGAATGTAGGGACTATACTCAAAGCCACCTATCTAGGAAGTAGCAGACAGAGCAAGGCATTTCACCAAGGCAGTCTGTTCCCACAGCAAGGCTTCTTACCCTAAGGTTATTTGCTGTGGGGGAAGGGCACCCTGTTCATTGTGGTGTACAGAAGCAGCACTCCTGGTCTCCACTAGCTGGATGCCAACATCTCCCCTGCTTGTAGTCATGGCAACCAGATTGATGTCTCTGGGCACACAGTTGTCCAAGCTGAGAACGATTGTACTTTTCCTTATCATCTCACTGCCCAGCTTCAGGGATAGGCACTGTAGGAAGCCATAGGACAGACCAGCCCCTGAGCACTTCTTGACCCTAAACTGTCTATGTCCTAGGTCCCATGACTGGAGCAAGGTGCACTATGGGGCTTGGGTCTCCTTGAGGCAGCAAGGAGTGCCTGTGTCAGAGGTCCCCCATCTTCCCTAGGAGGTCCTTTGTTAGGCCTTCCAGGGACACACTGGCCCTCATCCACAGATCCTCAGCCTCCTGGGAGGACTGAGTCCTGCCTGTGTTGCCAGGAGACTACAATGTCTCAGCCCCTTCCTAAGGCCAGTGGCCCCAGACAAGGTTTGTTTTCAGTCCTGAAACAAAGCTAGGACTTGGTGCCCCATAGAGAATAAACTCCCAGCCTGGACCTCCCTGGGGGGATGGTGTTGGTGATGTGGGGGGGCAGTGGTGGGAATGGCCTAACTAAAGCTTTCACCCGGGAGTCAGAGGAAGGGACTGTGCCTGCCCTGTTGGCATGGCTGAGAAAAGCAGGGTACACTGTTCTCAATGGAAACTCAAGTTGTGCACATTTATTAAATGCTGGCTGTAGAGCCAAGTGGGGTTGTTGTTTGTTTGCTTTTCTTTTCTTTCTCCTTTTTGATGGAGCTAGGGACAGAATCCAGGCTCTCAAACATGCTATGTAAGCACTCTAGCACAGATTTACACCTCAACCAAATGCCCTAGAGACCTTGGTGTATAACATGGGCTTATTCGTATGCTAGTGGTAGCAGCAGATAGTTAGGTGTCCCTAAATCCTGTAGCCAGGTGTCAGAGAGGCAGAAGGGGGCCAGAACCCTGAGGTCTCCAGATAGCATGGTGGGGTGAGGGCCAGCTGCAGCTATGGCAGTCAGTCTGCTTGTTCTGCTCATGAGAACCACCAGTGCAAGGGAAGACAGAGTGTGACTGGAGAAGGTCCACCCCAGGGAGACTCCTTGCGTTCTTGGGGTGGACAGATTGTCCTAAGGACAATTTTCTTTTTCTGTGTTTTGAGACAGGGTCTTACTCTGAAGCCCAGGCTGTCTGGAACTTATGATGACCTCCATTTGTGGGCCTCAAATGCTGGGACTACAGCATGTGCCACCATGCTGTGTACATCCTTTGTTGTTCTGAGACCAAGTTGCTCTTGGTGGCAGCCATGGAATGAGGGTGACAAGTCCCTCAAGTTGGGGGCCTTATTCCTTCCTTAGGCAACAAGCAAAGAAGGTAACAGCAGGGCTTGATGGCACACACAGGTCTTAAGTTCTAATACAGATGCAGGTAGGTCTCTGAATTCGAGGTCAGCCTTGTCTATCTGTATAGGAGTTCCAGACCAGATGACGCTACACAGTGAGATCTTGTCTCAAAAAGTAAAAATTGAATAATTTAGTATCATTTACAAATTGGAGATTGAAGTAGCTCCCCCCCCTCCCGTGGCCATCACTGGATTGCAGCTGTAAAAATTAAGTTCAACCCCTTTGTGACTGCTGGCCGAAACAAGAACCACAAATGACATGACATTTCAGTGCACCTTCTCACACTTGGAGGAAGATCACATCTTCCCCTCTTTCCACAGAGCGGAGACAGAAGTACAATGTTTGATCTCTGCCCATTGGAAAGGGTGATGGAGGTCAGGTTGTCTGAGGACACTACAAAAGCCAGCAGATTAACAACGTAGTTCAGGTGTTCACATAAACAGTGTGCTGAGAAAAGGTTAATTGCACAACTGTCCATGTGGGCATCCACTCTAGCTATGGGGTTATCACCAGACTAAAGCTGGATAAAGTCTGAAAAAAATCCTGGAAAGGAGAGCCAAGTCTCAACAAGTAGGAAAGGGCAAATACAGGAAGAAATGATTGGATCTCACACACAACTTTCATTAAAGACAGCTTAAGTAAAAAAGAAAAAAAAAATCCAAGCTGAGATTCATCAGGGAGCTAAGTTGATAGAGTGCTTCTCCGGTTTGCATAAGACCCCAGTGATGCAGAAGTGGGACATGGTGGTGGGTGTCTGTCGTCCCAGCTCTCAGGAGGCAGAATAGAAGGATCAAGGTCATTCTTGGCTACATAGTGAGTTGGAGGCTGGCTCAGGCTACTTGAGATTTGGGCTAAAAAAAAACCAAAAAAACAAAACAAAAAAACAAAACAAGCAAACAAAGAAAAGAAAAAACAAAATAGCAACCACAGAAACAAGGTCCAGAAAAATGGCTGGAAGGGTAAAAGCACTTACCACACAAGCCTGGTAGCCTGAGTTCAGCCCCCCAGAGCCCGTGTGAAGTGGAAGGAGAGAGTCAGCTCTGCAAAGCTGTCCTCTGACCTCCATGGGCGCACCCCATCCCACCAGCAGACTCCATGGCATTTTTCCTTTTGGTTCTGTGGCACTGAGTCTCAGTCTGTGAGCAGATTGGCCTTACACTTGTCTTCCTACCTCAGCTTCCTGAGTGCTGGGATCACACCCTGTCTTCCTCCACTACACCCTGGTGTGGGATACAGATCTTACTTGTTGATGGAGTACATGCAGCCACTGCGTGAACTCACTGATGCAGGCTAATCTAGATAGCCAGCTTACTCTGAGGATCCTCTGTCTTTTCCTTTCAAATGTTGCAATTATAGGTGGGCCACTACTCCCAGCAGGGTTTATGTGGGGCTGTCTCTGAGCCCCTTTGAGACTGATTTTTGGTATGGGAGCTGAGGATGGACCTAGCTCTTTTGACTAAGGCTTGTGGTGTAATGATATGCTGTGTGTAAAACAATTTTAAGGGCCCCTGTAGAGCTGAAGAGATAGCTTAGTGGTTAGGAGCATTGGTTGTCTTTGCAGAACCTTCACAGGGTGACTCACAACTAGTTCATGACAGATGGCATGTACACGCACAAGCACACTCACTCACATACACATAATTAAAAATATCAGAGCTGCTATTTTTTATAAACAGATCTACTTGGGAGTGCTGCAACTGGGGGATACCTGTGAAACTAGCCAACAGCAGTGTCTCTAAGAGCTAGGTGTTGTCACCAATCCAAATTCCCAGATGGAAAAGCTCGGGTCCCCAGGCAGGGCAGCTTGCCCACGTTGGGATCCTGCTCTGTCCTTCTGTTCCAGCCTCTGCGTCCTCATTTGCCTCTTAAGGCTTCTCATCCCACTGTTACAGGCTGGAAGCAGATGAGGGCACCAGCAGCCAGCAGTTGTGACATGCTCAATGACTGGGGCTAGTCAGACTGAGTCCCCTGCAGCCTCATGATAATGAGGGTCATAGCATCTCTGAGCCTCGGCAGCTTTCTGGATGTAGCCACCTATCCAGGGGTGCACAGGGAGCACCCATCTCCTTGACCCTGGGGTTGCTTCCACAGGTTATGTGTTGGCTCTGGTCATCAGGACACAAATATGGGTACAGAACCAGACTTGGACTGGACCCTGAGATGAATCAAAATCCACAGCCCAGTAGGTAACACACTGGTCATGAGCATCATGCAAGGATGTCTACACTAAGCCAGGCATGGGCAGGGCCAGTCTTCCCTCTCTTCTCTCTTCCCCTCCCTCACCCCTCCCCACCCCCTGCATCTGTTCTTTGCATGGTGTGGATGCAGTGGCATAGACATTGTCATCTGCCAGTGTGACCTGAGTCTCCCTATCTGTATGGTGGAGCTGTGCTGTGCATCAGTAAGATCTGGGACAGACAGTGGGAGGGGGCCCTGGCAGTGGAGCCACTGGGGTCTTGGTCGAGGCCACAACGAATACCTTTTCTCCTTCAAGGCAGAGTGAATCTGTCTGAAACTTCTGTGTCATGTATTTCATTTTTAAAAAATTATCTGATTACTGTTGTGTATGTGAGGCACATGTGTGGGTGCCAGAGGACAGCTTTGGATAGTCCTTTCATTCCACCCTGGTGTCCAGGGGTCAGCTCAGCGCACCAGGCCAGTGGCCAAGTGTCTTCGCCTATCCACCATCTCTGTAGCCTCTTCTCTGCAACACGGAGGTTCCTTTTATTTTGACGAATCCCCCCAAAAGAAACCAAAAAACAAAAACCCCACAAAAAACCCAAAAAACAAAACAAAAGCAAAAAAACCCAGAATGTGATTTAAGGCTATATATGTGTTTATTTTCACAGAAGACACATGCTGAGACTCATGCACCAGGATTCATGTACTCTGAGATGCACACACACATGCATGAACATACACACAGACACATTTGCACATACATACAGAGACACATCTGCACACACACATTCATACACTTACATCTTTGTATGCACACATACATGCATAACACATTTACACATAACACACATTCACACATGCCAGCATTCACACATACACACATTTACACATACAAATTTCATATACACATTCTCTGTTGTTTACATGCATACACCCATAAATATAAATGCGGAAATTCCAAAACACCTGCTGGTAGAGAGGTGCACTGATGGCCCCCATGTGAATAACTTGTGCCTTGCATACTCATGTGAACCAGTGGACAATCTTGCATGCATAGCAGGACAGAGCCCACCACCCCCGTGAGGCAATGTGAGGCAGGTCACTTCAGCTCTCTGAGAGGCTTCTACAACAGTTGAACAGAGTTGATAATTAAGTGCATAGAAGAGAGGTGATGGCAGAAGAGGCTGGTGTACAGTGAGAGCAGGGCATAAGTTGGAGACTGGCCGTGCGTGCTGCAAGGCATGTTGGGTGCTGGAGCCTGTTGCCAGACTCTCAGGCATCTTTTGAGCTGCTGGTTAGACTATCATAGTCCAACAATCAAGAGACCCAAACTGCATTTCGAGAAATTTCATACTTCCAAGAAGCCTTCTGACAGCACTAGTGGACCAGTTGTCTTCATGACACACCAGAGCTGACTCCAGCTGGGACCTCTCAGTCCTACAGGGATCCTCGCTGGTCCTTGGGGACCTCCTCCTGGTCTCTGAAAGAGGACCTCTCTGGTGCAGCTCCTCCAGTGTGAGGGCATCAGTCTGTCCAGGCCACTGGTGCATGTGATCCACTTGGTGCAGAGAGAACTTTGGCTCATTTCTTGCTCATAGGAGACAGAGAGAAGGAGCTGTTCTTCCGTGTGTGATGTGGCCCTGACCCTGTGGTTGGGATTCTCCACTCACCTTCTGCCTAAAGACCTTCACCTTGCTCACTCAAGCTGCCAGCTTGGACCAGGGTCATTCAGCTTAGTGCTGCTGGAATAGGGTGGGATCAGATGGCTGTTGTGGGCTATTTAGCAGGACCCTGGGCTCACCACAATGGTGCTCTACCACCTCCATAGTTGCTGTCGTTCTTGCTACTGCTTGCTTCATCTCTTTTGGAAGAGCTTTTTACTGTGCTTTGGGCTGGTTTTGAACTCCTGCCTCAGCCTCCTTACTGCTACAACTACAGGCCTACTCTACCATACCCAGTGGTGACATTTTTGCTAATTTTTTTCTGGGTGTTATGCCACTGAGCTACACCTCTAGCCCTTCTAACTCCTATTGTGATACCCCCAAATATCCCTAGACATTACACAAATGTTCCTATCCCTCTTTAGCCTGAGAGTATAGATCTCTATCCTGTCTACACAGCAGGGACTCCTGGGCTCTCTCTAGAAAAACAAGTTTATGAAGAATCCTTTATCCACAGCGGGAGGTAGGGACCAGGCTGCTGTGAGCTTAGGACCCAGTGCCAGGCTGACTCAGAGTTGAGTAGAACTGAGGACCCTTCATGTGTCACTTACTAGTCTTCATGGGGTGGGTGGGCTGTTGCGCATCCCTAGCCACTATTGCAGTCTCTGGGGGCCAGCCCAGGTGTCTTCCTTGACATCTCAGCTCTGGGACACAACCTCTGTTCTGCTCTGGATGGGCACTACCAACAGCTACCTGGAGTTGGCTCCCTTGTGAAGATTCTGGGAGAGGCTTCTCAGAGCCTGTGGATGCTGGTCAGGTGAACATGGCTATTGTCTCAACACTAGGTTCAGGTCTTACCTGACAGGTTATCCTTGGACAAATGGGTGGGGCTTTAGCTTGTGCTGAAGGCCATTGGCAATGCTGCTCTGGCAGCAGTAGCTCTCCCCCCTGTACTGAGCACCTGTGCATCCCTGAGGGGCAGCTCTCTGAAGATCTGGCTGGTAGCTATCCAGGCCTTACGGAGGATCCCTTACTCTGCAGGTGAGAGTTCTTGTATTTTTCCCTCTGGCTGCAGTGGGGCAATGTGTGGACTTGACCTAGGCCATCAATTCACCTCTTCCTTCAAAGTCATTACCTATTCACTGAGCAGCTCCTGTGTACTGGGTGCCTGCCAAGGTGCCAGTGTGAGCAGTTATTTTGCCTCTGTCCTCTAGAACCTATATTTAGTGTGGGAAGTGGATTATTCACCTAATAAACCCAAAAATAAGTATGTGATTTCTGATACTGCTACATGATCCAGACCCACATGTACCAGCACTGGCAGACTCTGTGGGCCACCTCCTGGTCTACTGACTGCTCTTATAAATAAAACGTTATTGGTACACAGATAGCTCTGGTCTATCTGTGGCTACTTTGTTGCCACAACTGATGAAGCTGCCAGGCCCAATACAGTTATTGTCTGTGTCATTATAGGAAAAGATTGCCCACCTGCCTGTCACTCAGTCAAGGTCAGATCCTTACCCATGAACCACTGGGCTCTCTGTGGTCTGGTTTTCTGACCTGCTGGTACATATTAGCCTCATCTACTTCTTTTTCTTCCAGATGTCCTCAGGCCTTTTTCTGTAACTGTACACAGAGCATTGCTGGGGAGAGAAGATGGCTGGGGTGGTGATTCAGTTGGTAAAGAGCCCATCATGCAAGCATGGGGACCTGGATTTCATCCCTAGCACCCAATAAAAACTGAGCATGGTGAACCATGCCTGTAATCCCAGCCCTGAGGAGGGAGACAAAGATGGGGGAATCCATGGAGTTTGCTGGCCAGCCAGTCTAGCTGAGCTGCTGAGCTCCAGGCTTACTGGGAGAACTTAAATAAACAATATGTAAATAGTTCTAAAAACTAAGCTGAAGCCAGGCAGTGGTGGCACACACCTTTAGTCCCATCAGCACTTGGGAGGCAGAGGCAGGCAGATCTCTGTAAGTTCAAGGCCAGCCTGTTCTAGGACAGGCTCCAAGGCAATACAGAGAAACCCTGCCTCGAACCCCCACCCCTCAAAAAAAAAAAAAAAAAAAAAAGAAGAAGAAGCTGAAGAACTCCTGGAGAAATTGCTCGGCTGCCCTCGCAGGGAATCTGGTTCAGTTCCCAGCACAGGGGCTCACCACCACTTGCACCACTTGCAACTCACGTTCCCGGGAATCTGGCCTCCATGGGCTCCTGTACATACATGCCACACATAAACTCATGCTGGAAACAGGCATAAATAGAATGTGTACACACATATTGCACATAAATTCATGCAAAGAAAGCCGGACATTGGTGGCACATGCCTTTAATCCCAGCACTTGGGAGGCAGAGGCAGGCAAAATCTCTGTGAGTTCAAGGCCAGTGTGATATACAGAGCAAGTTCCAGGACACAGGACAGGCTCCTGTCTCTAAAAACCAAAACAACAACAACAACAACAACCAAACCTAAACAAAACAAAACAAAAAAACCCTCATGCAAGGACACATGCATAAATAGAATATGTTCACACATGCTGCAATAAACTTATGCAAGGAAACATGCATAAATAACAAATCTTTAAAAAAAAATAAGGCAGAGAGGGGCCAGAGAGATGTCTCGGAAGTTAAGAACACTTGTTTCTCGCACAAAAGACCTGGGTTCAGGCCCCAGCACCCACACAGCAGCTCACATCCATCTGTAACTCCAGTTCTAGGGGAATCAATGCCCTCTTCAAACACGCGTATGGTGTACAAGCATATAAGCAGGTAAAATACTCATACAGATAAAAATAAAATTTAAAAATAAGGTAGTAAGTGATTGAGGGAAGGAATCAATGTTGACCTCTGGCATTTAAACATGTATGTATGTGTGTATGCACATGGTACACATAAATTTCATATAAACAACCACACATAAATAAAATATCTTAAAAAGTATTAGATGGAGAAGGGCTGTACAGATAATCCCAGAAATTAAGAGCATTTGCTGCTCTTACAGAAGACCTGGATAGTGGCCCAACTACCTCTCACAGTGGGGCCACAGGTGACAGTGTACTGGGGAAGTTGCCCATGGTGTACACACACACACACACACACACACACACACACACACACACACACAGAGTCCTCTTAACTCAGACATCTTTATTGCTGTTTCACCTGAAACTGAACCTCTTAAATCCCCAGAGTTGCTGATCTTGCCTCTCTATGTTTCCATATGTGTTATATATCTCAAACATTAACCCTCATTGCTCTAGAAGCTGAATGTCAAGTGCATGGGGGTTGGGTCAGTCATGCTGATGATGTCATCTATCCCATCAGTACAAAGTAGGTGCTCAGAAACTATGTGCTATGAATGGGTGGCCAGATGGCTACACTAAGAGGGAAATTGGGAGGGGTTGATGGACAATCATAAAGTCTAGAGGTGTCTTCTTTAGGACTGGGCCTGAGAGCACCAAGGCATTTATATTCTGTGTTTATGTTGTTTTGTAAATAAACTTTATTGGAATGCATCTATTTTGTATTGGTATGCATGGAAACTGACCAGGCTCTGGGATAAGAGGTCTGAATAGACATGGACCCACTACATCCCACAGTAGGGCCACAGGTGACAATATCCTGGGTAAATTGCTTATTGTAGAGACATCAAGGAAGCTGGTGGTATCACGGGGTCAACTGTAGGAACAGGGGCACTATGGGGGTGAGTGCTGAATAATGGATGTCTTTCCCAAACCAGAGATCAGTGCTGTCTCTCCTGTACTGTACCAAGCTCCTGAGGAGGACACAGGGCTCCATGTCAATGCCTACCAGGCTCTGATGAAGTGCCCCATTGAGGAGATGTTTTCCCAGGTGCAACACACACAGGCAACTGTGCCGTCCACCCAGGGGTAAGTAGGGCAGTATGGGGTGATATGGATGGGTCTGTACCAGGTGTCTCTTGGGGTGGGGCAGTGTGGTTAGGAGTTCTCTCACCCTTTACTTCTCTAGTCATACTAGACAACTGACCGAGTGCGTTCCCCATGGATAGCTAGGGGGAAGTCCCTTCTCTCAGGACCTCACCAAGTTCTGCTGACTCTGGCCAGAAGCACAGCAGTTCTGTACAGAGACACACAGGGCCAGCCTTGTCTACAGGAAACCCTGATGTGAGAAAGAGAGAACCACTAATACAGAGATAGTGGCTATAAATCTTGGGTCCCTTTGGCAATCAGTGAGTTCCATTTAAAGGGGGGAACTCAGAACATAGTCCATGAACTTGGGGTGTGAATATAAGAGATAAGTTCAGCTGATTAAAGGAAAACACAAACCAGTAACAACTGGCTAGCTGTGGTGGTGCACATCTGTAATTTTTGCACTAAAAGTGATGAGGCAGAAGAATCATGAGTTCCAGGCCAGTTTAGACTGCATACCTTGGGTGGGGCCTGGGTGGCGGAGCTAGGGGCAGGGCTGGAGCTCAGTGGTAGACCACTTGCCTAACATATGAAAGGCCTGGCCTTCATCCCGAACTGCAATTAAAATTTAAGAACAATTTAAAAATGTATACAATGCACAGCATGTTAGTGTCTTGGTTTCAAGCCCTGTACAACCAGTCCTTGCCTGTGTGTCCCAGCAGAGGGACTCCCAGCGCTGTGAACCCCTGGGTCTATGTCTTTGAAGTGAGGACAGCATGCACCTCAGAGTGTGCTTAGGGGGAGATGAGCTGAGGTGGGGATGGTAAAGAGGACAGCCACCTTTACTTTTCCTTGCAGTCATGTTTGAAAGGGCAGAGCAGGAAGGTGAGTGGACAGTGAACCCTTCTTTCCCCAACCCTGGAATGCATTCCCTGAGACCAGCTTTCCAGGGTGGCATCAAAACTTCAACACAGTGCTAGAGAGTTTGCCTGGCAGGAGTAAGGCCCTGGGCTCTGTCACTAGCATTGCAGCCAGCCAGCCAACCAACCAACCAATCAACAAACGTCTCTGGAACACAGAGATAAGCACACACGAATAGCACACATGTGCACCCCAACCTGTTTTACTTGCCTCCACCAAGGCCTGGAGGCTATTTCCAGTTATGACCCATTAGCACCAAGAACCCAATGTGACCTGCCTACACATCTGCCTGAGATGACTTGATGTTTTCCTGAAACTCAGCCACTATTCAAGTGGTGTGTTTATTTGAAGTAGATGCAGGGCCAAGGACATGGCTCCGCCACAGGGTGCTTGCATTGCATGTACAATGAGGCCTTTGGCTCCATCTTCCACACAGCAAAAAGGAACAACAAACCAGTCCCATGTTCCAAATGACCTTCTGTGGAAGTAGGGTCGCCAGAAGATGTAACCCTAGTGTCAGACTTGGGGATGAGGAAGGGGGTGGTGTTGGGACTTTGTCTTGAATCACAGTAGTCAGCCTGCTAAGCTTCTAAGGGATCAGCCAGGGGCTGAAGATGACATGCTATACGCTACCCAGTGGGATAAATGGGTTCCCTGTCCCCTCCCCCCAAGTCAGGCCTGTCCCATTGTCGGATGTTTGGGAAACTTCTAGCTGTGCCTTCTGGGAGCTTACATTGTCTTATGCTGAGTTCCCATTCTGCTGATATCCCTACGCACGCACCCATAGCATCTCAGCCCTGCAGGACCCTGGCAGTGAGTCTATCATGGACCGCACATCACCTCTTTGTCTGCTCTGAGATAATGCTCTGAGATAATTAGACTCTCTGGTTCTGGCTCTGGCCTGGACTGACCTTTGCCAACAGCCCCTTGAGAAATGTTACTTCATTTCATAGATGAGGAGCGCCAGGCCCAAAGCTAGAGTGAGCGTTCCCAGTACTCGTAAGTCACAGAAGTGAGGCCTGGGGTGGCCCAGCCAGTAATGCACCTGCTAAGTAATGCAAGGACCTGGATTCCATCTCCAGAGCCACATAGAAACGGTATGTGGTCACATGTTTGTAATCAGTGCTGCAGAGGGAATACAGGTGGATCTCTTAAGCTCGCTGAGAAAAGTGAGAACTTTGCCTAGGCCTCCACGTGCATGCACATACATATGTACCTGCATATACACAAGGTTTTAAGAGGCTCTGGGTAGAATGAGGATTTGAAATGTGGCTTGATATCCCTATTTTACAGATGAGGTAGGGAGATGGTTGCAACATCTTGAGGTAACACAGCTTGCATCCCTGGAACTGAACTATGGCTCTGACTTGGGTCTGACTTTCAAGTCAAGGCATCCAACTTTCCTTTGCCTTTAGGGAAACTTGTTAGAATCCATACATAGGCTGGATCCTACTCCTGTTACCTTCAGGCTGCAGGGTACTGAGCAGCCTTGGCATGGGGGTGTGGCAGGCTGGGTTGAGTCAGAGAGATTTGGTCTGTGACTAACTGTGTGCCTGTTGCTGCCACTCTGCCCCAGTGGGCTCCTTTATGTGGAGCCACATCCTGCAGCTGCTGGAGACAGATGATCCTCTGAAACATGACCTTAGGGATTCCATCCCCAAAGACATCCTCAGTCAGCAGTTCCAGATGGAGACCTGGAAACACGCATCTTACTCTGATGTCATCTTGCACACAAGTACGGCTCGCCTAGGGCCACAAGGCCTGGGGACCCCAGAGCTCCAATCTCCAAGGACACACCTTGCCTGGGTGACATAGAAAATGTTCAGGGCCATCCTGGATAGCTTAGTGAGAACCTGTCCCAAAAAGTAGAGGGCTGCACAAGGGCCTGTGCTAGGTCTCCCTATAGGAGTGGGGAAAGCTGCCAGAGTCTTGTAGCTGAGGTCCCTGAACCACCTCAGCCATCCTAGGGAGTGTAGGGTATGGAGGGGTGCTCTGGCATCTTCCTCAGCCTTCATCAGGTGGAGGATATGATGTTTAACCCTCCCTGGGGCAGCACATACTGTGGGTATAACCTCACTTTCTAGTTCCCAGGATCCTCTTTTCCCTGGGCGCCAACCTGGAGAGGACCTTCCTCTCCTCTCCCAGCTCCTTCCTCCCTTGTTCTGCCACAGCAAACCTCACTGTCCATGGTGCTGGCCCGGCCAAGAGTGCTGGGCTTGTGGACTCCCTAGGGTCTATCCTGGAGGCAGGGCAAGGAGTGATCCCATCTGTCCACTCATCTGTCCACCTGTTCCCTTGATTCCGTTGTTCAACATTCATTCTATCATATTTTGACCCATGCAACTTGCCCATGAATACAGCCATACATCTGTCCAAGCATCCTTCTATCTAGCTCACCCTCTCAATCTCCAGGCAGCACAGAGGGAAGACCTCTGAGGCTGGTGTCCTGTGGGTTGCTGTGGTGTCCTGACATTTGGCCCCAAGGCCTGGGAGTCCATCTCAGGACATGTGCTCTATGCTCTCCCAGCCCTTTCTGGTTGAAGGAGGCCAGGGCCTGTCACCCAGACACTGCCAGCTGGGGGTGGATGCCACCCCCTGTGATTTTTCTTCAAACACCATCAAAGATAGCTGGATGGCAAGGGAGAAGGGGTAGAGAGAAGGGAGAGCAGATGTCTGTGTAGGTGGGTGGATGGCTTATACATGTGCAGGAAAGAGAAGAGGTCAGTCAACGGGATGACAGATGACAGATGGGAGGGCAGTCAGAGAGAGGATCCATTTGTTTATCTGGGACTCATCCGGGCTAGTAGATGCCTCATGGGTAATTCCTGAGTCCCCATGCCCCTCAAAGGGACTCCACAACAGGGTCTGGGTGTTACCTTGTTGCTATGTGCTGGAAACCCAGGTGGGGGTGTGATACATATGGGCTGGGAGGGGGATGTGAGAAGGAGGGCTGCCCAGAAGAGGTGCCATTTGAAGATCCCCAAGACTCCATAGGAAATTTTGCCTGAAAAATTCAAAGCTGTGCCATTTCCTGAGCCCGGGTGGCCCCCAGGGAGCTCTGAGTGCTCCAGACCAGCCTCCCAGGGTCCTGCTCCCAGTCCCACAGCCCTTGACTACCTGTGTGACTGGGTTCTACATTCTCTGGTTTCTCTTTCCAGATGGGACTCCAGTTGGAGAATGCTAAAGACATCATCTCTCCTTCTGGAGGCAGGAAGAAAAGAGAGAGGATGAGCCAGGAAACCCTTCAGGACCAAAGCCAGGCCTGGATGGCTCTGACTGCAGGAGAAAGATCCAGAAGGATGAAGGACCTCCAGGAGAAAGTAATGTCTGGTGTGTTGACCACCCCATCCCCCACCCAGTGACCCAGATGCCAGCATGCAAAGACCATAGCTGCCCATGCATCCCTTGTGGACTCCAACTGGCTGGGCCTGCCTGGAGCTGAAAAGGTGTTTGTCTAAGTGTAGCCTCTACACGGAAAAGTCCCAAAGTCCCATCTGGATATGTGTCCATTTCTGTGCACCAGTGAGGCCAACACCCCAGGGAGCCCTCTGCACTCTCTTCTAGTCAGTGCCCATCCCTAACCAAGGTAACCCAGAGTCTAACTTCCAATGGTGCCAATGACTCCTGCTTTTTTAAAATTAGCTTTGTAAAGTTGGTTCAGAGGCATCCACAACCCCGGTGCTGGGATAGTGAGACAGGTGCTTGACGGCTAGCTAGCCTGGACCAACCAGGATGCTCCCTCCAGCTTCAGTGAGAGACTCTTCTCAAAGAATAAAGTGGAGAGCACACACATAGGCATGCGTGCGCACATGCACACACACACTCACTGCACACACACATGCATACATGCACATACACACTGATCTCAGATTACTGGAGTCACCCTCACCAAAAAGCTGATGACTCTGTCATGTTCATGGGAGTCTTTTTTTGTGTTCTTTGAGGTACTTTTACCCTGTAGCTCAGTCTGGCTTCCAACTTACAATCCTCCTGCCTCAGCCTCTTTGTTGATGGGATCACAGTTGAGGACCACCATGCCCATCTTACAAGCGTTTTCATTTTCTATCATACTCCTTCTTGTCCCGGGGAGCTACTGAGAAGCTGTGGACCACTGTAGACTGCTTGGCACTTTCTCAGATGTTATATAAATTGCAACATGTATTTAAAGCTTGCACTCACTCTTGCTCTGTTTCATTCACACATGGCTGTGAGCTGCCCCTGCCCAGCACTGGGGGTAGAACCCAGGGCCTTCCCCATGCTAGGTGCCACTACCACTGAGTTATCCCAGACTTTTTTCTTTTTTCTTTCTTTTCTTTTTTCTTTTTTTGACAAGGTCTCACTATGTAGCTTAGGTTGACCTCAAACCCTCCATACAGGTTGGGGTGGCCTGGAACTCACTCTTCAGCTCATGGCTACCTTCAAACACATGATTCTCCTGCCTCAGCCTTCTAGTGCATGGATTTCAGGCCTGCTCTATCCTGCCAGGCTAGTATCTTACTTTATTTTGTGTTTCCCTAATGACTAATGGTGACAAACCTATTTATTATTTTATTTTATGTATTTTTTTCTTTTTTCTTTTGGTGACAGGGTCTTACTGTGTAGATCAGTTGGCTTCAAATTCACAGATATCTGCCTGTCTCTGCCTTCCATATGCTGGGATTAAAGGTGTGTACAATGCTCAGCCTTATGGATTTTTTTACGAATGTGTGCACATGTGTGTGCTCATGTGTGCCCACACTCACATATACATGTCACAGAATGTGTGTGGAGGTCAGAGGACAGCTTGTAGTTGTTGGTTCTCTCCTTCCACCAGGTGGATGGAGGTCATCGGGCTTGGCTGCAAGTGCCTGAGCCTTCTGGACAGTTCTTCATGGGCTTATCTGCTATCCAGGTGTCTTCTTTGGTGAAATGCATATTCAAATATTAGGCTCATCTTATTTTATTGGATTATTTTCCTTTTTTTCTTTTTGAGAGAGGGTTTCTCTGTGTAGCCCTGGTTGTCCTAGAACTTGATCTTGATCTTGAAATGTATGTGCTTGCATGTTTGCATGTGTGTGCATGCATGTGTGTACTTGTACAGTATGTGTGTGCAAGTGGATGTGAATATTTGTGTGTGTGTATGTTAATATTGAGTATCTTTTTCCATCATGTCTATACCTTTTTAAAAATTTTTTTTATTTTATATTTGAGTGTTTGCCTGTATTATGTGTGTGCACCATGTGTGTGCAATAGCCATAAAGGTCAGAATAGGGCGTCAGTACCCCTGGAACTGTTGGCCTCCATGTGGGGGCTGGGAACTAAACCTGGATCTTCTGCAAGAGCAGCCAGTGCTTTTAGCTGCTGAGCCATATCTCCAGCCCCTCTACCTTACTTTTAGGATACGGTTTCTAACTTCCCCTGGAGCTCACCCATTCCACTAGGTTGGCTGGCCCCAGGTGCTCTCCTGACTGTATCTCCCCAAGCACTGGGATTAGGGCATACTGTTATTATGCTTGCTTTATGTTTTTCTTGAGTGCTGGAGACTCAAACTCAGTTCTTGGTGCTTATGACAAGTGCTTTATTGACTGAGCTACCTCCCCAGTACCTATGCTATTTTAAAAATTGTTTTATTTTATTTGAGTTAAAAAAAATCTCACTATGTAGCCCAGGCTGGCCTCACACTGACAACCCCCTACCCCCACCTCTGGATCCCCAGCACCACATGAGACCAGACATAGGGGCAATCACAGCACTCAGTAGATGGGGCCGGAGGCTCAGGAGTTCAGGGTCAGTCCAGCTACACAGCAAGTTTTTGGGCAGCCTGGGCTACATGAGATCCTATCAACAGATAAAATGAAAAGTCATGCTATGAGTGGCATGTGCTTTGTAATTGGAAGCCTGTCTTCATCTGAGTGATCAGGTCCCATTGCTAGTTACTGTCTTAGCAGAGACTCTGGGTTTCATGTGCATTCTGGAGGGTGGGGAGCATGATGGGTACTCACTCTGCCTCCAGCATTTGCTCTTGTAAAATGCCATTTCTGTGTACATCTGAGAGCCTGCAATGTGGGTGGCTTGGGTGTGTACTGACATGTTTATACATAGACCAGATGTTAACCAAAGCCCAGGTGGGTTAGTAATAAACACTGTTTTGTTTTGTTTTTCCTAGCTGGGCATGGTGGCATGTGCCTGTAACCCTAGCACTTAGACTATGGAGGGATTTTTTAGGCAAGCCTCAGCCTCACTGTGGGTTGGAGCCTGTCTGGGCTACTTGGGACACTGTTTAACAAAAACAAAATAAATATTTTTGTCTTAGAACATAGTCTCCATAGTCTGTTATCTTCTCATGTTTCATACCCACATCCCAAGAAGATTTGACTAAGACAAAGAGAATAACAGCAGATACTTGATCTCCATACTGGCAAGACAACAGGGAGGGCAGGGACTGTGGTACACAGAACAGCCACCCACCACACTGGCAGTTTCTCTTGGCTCTGGTCACCCTAGTATTTCTGTCTTCAAAGAAGTCCATGTCATAGCATGAGGAATGATGAGGGAGGAGGAGACCATCATGGACGAGAGTGCAGTTCAGGTAGCTGAATGGGATTCTAGAAGGAGATGTTGAAGGGGAAACCAGGGAAAAGCAGCTGCGGTTCAGAGCTGGCTCATCACAGCTCATTCAGGAAGGCATGTCTGCACTAGGCCACGGGCACTACCATGCATGTCAAAGAATACGTGTAGCAGAGTGTGTTTGGTGGGCTGGGGCCCCCCACGCCCTGACCTTTCTAGCAGCCCACTCTTCCTCCTGCTCCAGAAGCTTTGCCTTGCTCGCCCTAAGTTTCTCTGTTTCCATTCTGGTTTCTTCTCAGGTAGCCCAGTGGTCTAGGGCAAGATGGAACCAAGCTGCCAGCTGAGTGTCAAAATGTTTGGGCATGAACTAAGTTTCCTGGGCTGCGGGCCTCTGGGGGCCACAGGAGGTGCTGGTCTCTGCACTTGGCTGAACTTGCCATCAAGTTTCTCAAGGTACTGTCCTCTCCCCACTGTTCCTGTCCAATCCCTACCTGTGACTCCTCTCCTGTGACTACTGCATTCTGTCCCTACTCCCTGCCCTCCACTCCCTGTCACTTTCTCCTTTTGCCGTGTTCTTAGCTATTGCTCTAGCACTATGCCTGCCTACCTGCTGCCATGATGACTGTGAACACTCTGGAACTGTGAGCCCCAAAATTAAATACTTTTTTTATAAGTTGTCTTGGTTATGGTGTCTCTTCACAGCAGCAGAAAAGTAACTAAGATTCACTCAAACCAAGAAATTATCCAAAGATGATCCCAGTCAGCAGTGAGCTCTACCCTACCCTACCTTTAATCCATCCTTGAACGTTGTAGTCTTGCACAAAGGTGTGGATGAAATAATCATCTCAGACATTCTCACCAAAAGAACAAAAGTTCAACAATGTAGGGGAAGACAGCACACCTCTGGGAACACCCAAGGAGGAAGCTCAGAGGGAAGCCCTCACAGGTCTCCTGGAGGAAGTGGCTCTCAGTGTACAAAACTCAACAGCCTGGCTTGATACAAATGACCTGTGGGCCATGAAGGGACTTAGGTGAAAACTCATTGAACAAAGAAACCAGAGAGATTAAGAATTTGCAGAGAAGATCTAAAAAGAGATCCAGCCAAGACACAGCCTTGGGTACATCTAGACTTGCGGATGGCATTGCTTTCTCTTGCACAGGGTGACTGTTGGGGGGATTTGAGTGGAAATTGAGACTTGGCTGATGGGGATGCCAGGGCTTTGCCTGCACTGGAGAAAGGGGGAAAGGGGTTATATGTATTTACTAATGCAAGCTTGGATTAGACACTATGTCCATCTTTTTGGAGTTTTTCAGAATTATGCCAATTCAGTGAGTAGCATGAACAGAGTTCTGGAATAGAAGGATGACATTGAGAAGTGTCTCACAGTCATTGTGAAGTTTGCCACCAGCATTGTAGCTTTCTTTGCCAAGGAACCTCATCAAGCCATGAAGGGAACTGGGAACTGGGACTTGCCATTGATCAAAATTGTCTCCCATTCTGAAATCGACAAAAATTGTATAAAAGCATTTTACCCACAGTCAAGCCATTCTAGATAAAACTAAAGGCGACTGATCAAATCCTGGTGGCTTTGTAGTGGAAACTAGACTCCCTCCAGAACTCTGAGGCATTCCAGCTAGAGTGCTCTTTCCATCACACAGGCTTCAGCAGGAGAGTCCCTTCAGCATATCACTGTCGAGGTACCTGCTTTCTGGAAAACACATCCTATAAGTCATTTTTACATTACATTTTACATTATATTTTACATTACAGCTCTGCACAATAGAAATGAAATTGTTATACTAGCTGTGTGTATCCCAAACTATAAACCCCATAAGCGAGTCATTTTGGTATATTCTAGAGGAAGATGTTTACATAGCTTAAAATAAAAATAATTTTATTAGAAAAAAAATGGTCCAGGAGCTGAATGTGGTGGCACACACCTTTAATCCCAGCACTTGGGAGGCAGAGGCAGGTGGATCTCTGTGAGTCTGAGGCCATTTGCTCTGCAGACTGAGTACCAGGACAGCCAGATGACAGAGTGAAATCATGTCTCACACAAAACAAAAAGAATCTTCGTGGGGCTGGAGAGACAGCTCTGTGGTCAAGAGCCCTTGCTGGAGTTTGGTTCCCAGAATCCACAGTGGAAAGCTCACACCTAGAGGTAACTCTGCCTCTAGGGCATCAGACACCCTCTTTTTGGGTACCTTCACTCACATGGTCATACATACATACACACACACACACACACACACACACACACAGAAACAAATCATTACAAATAATGAAAGTCTACACCAGTAGTTCTCAGTATGGTTGGACTTTTTTTTTTTTTTTTGCCTTCTACACCACCCCTGGATTGATGGGGGGTAGCAATTAAGGGAATGGCTAATGAAATTGCAGGTGTCTCCAACTGCATTGATGATAATTCCTGGCATCTGATTGGTAAGGACCAGGAATGCTATCGGACACTGAATAATGTATATAATATTCTCAGATTACTGGGCTTCATGCCAACAGCTTGCTGAGGCTGAGGAGTCCTGACCTATTCAGTTCTGTCTTTCAGGAGCAGTGTCTATACAGCACTGGTTCTCAGAAGGAAATGCTAATATGGGTGGCTGGGCCCACAGCCTGAGCTCTGCTAACTGAAACTGTCACTCATCTTCCTGTCTTTGCAGTGTCCCAAGCCTGGGGCTGGCAGCTGTGCACTAATGTGGCCTGGCCAAAGCCTGGTCAGCCCTCCCTGCTCTCAGCACCTGTGTTCATGGATTTGATTCTGAAGAAGCAAGACCCAGGACTGCAGCTGTGCTTCTAGAAGCTGCCTACACCTTCCATTTCCAGGTGGTTAATGTGCAATGGCCCCCTCCCTCCCAGTTGGCTGTGGATCTCCCCATGCACATCAGCATCAAGGACTTGGCCACAAAGACACAGGTTTCAACTCTGAGGCTTTGAGCTGTCTTCTTGCTGCTGCAGGACCTCTGCAAGTGTTGGCTCTGTCTAATGCCAAGCTTTCACTCTGACTTCATGTGTCAAGCACATTCCTGTGCCCAGACCTTTGCAATGGCTCTTTCCTGTGCCTGAGACACTCTTTCTTCCAGTGCCAGGTAACCTCATATTCTGTATTCTCTCTTCACATGCCATCAAAGGTAGCCTGTCCCTTACTACCCGACATAAAACACATATCATTCCAGGACCACTCATGTACCCACATGGCTGCTCTCTTATGTGGTTCTGTGTCTGGTTGTTGTATGCCTCCAACTCTGGGTGTCAGCCCCCAGGGGCAGGAGCCTTGCATACCTAGGGCTCCCCATGCTTCAGAAGTGTTAAATGAGTGAGCAGAGCTGTGGTATTTTACTTGACTCTTTTGCAGTATAGGGGAGAAGCTGGGGCCTTGTGCATGTGTGCAACGCCTGCAGTGTCCCACAGAGACACACCCCAGCCCTGGCTTTGGGTGCAGAAGCAGCTGGAGCTCAAAGCTGCTTTTCTCAGAACTTCGCGGTCAGAGGCTTGTGGTAAAGGAAGTTTTTGAGCAAAGGCCCTTGGGCCAGAGGAGAAGTGAAAAGGCTAGGAAAGATAGAGGCTGACCCTTGCTTCACCTTGGCCTCAGAGATTCTGGAGCAGGGTTGGTAGCAGCAAGCACAAGATGGTAGGTAGAGTTTTGACTCCAGAGCATAGGACTGTGTTCTGAGGGTTACAGATGTCCTCTGTGCATAGCAAAGCATGAGAAAGAGGAGGGACCTGCACAGGGCTAGTTTGGGATGAGGCAACATTGCTAAGTTGCTTTAGTTGTGTACTGCAGAAGCTCCAATCTGGTCATTTGCCCTGTCAATCAAGACCTGGAGAGGCTTGAGTGTAGCTCAGTGGGAGAGCATTTGCCTAGCATGCAACAAAGCCTGGGACTCCAACACCTAGAGAAAATCAAGTCCCGTGGTAGACTGTCCTGAAAACCCACCTCTCCCATGCTGCTGTTCAGAACCTAGGAAATGCTTCATGGGCTTATTCCTGCAAGGATAGGAGGTACTGCTTCAGAAGAAGAATCCCATTGTGTTTGCAGAAGGACAGCTAGCTTCCTGAAGAAGACACAGCCCACCTCTTTATGGGTACACCCCAGTCAAAAGGGCCAGGGATGTTAGGGTGGACATCAGCTACAGTGTACCCCAGAGGAAGTGCTGGCTCAAGCTACTGCACCCCAAAAAGAAAATTCAGCTGGACGGTGAGTACAGCCCTCTCCCTGGTCACCCTTGGCAGCTGCAATGTAGGCAGTGTTCCTGCCACACACTCACCCATGGGGTCATTTGATGGCTAAGGGGATAGAAAATGGGCTGAAGGTGGAGCCTTGGCCTCTGAACTTGGCCTTGTCCCCAGGTAAGATGGAGGTTCTCAAGAGTGCACACGTGGGCCATTTGGAGCTGGTACTTGATGACAGGGATGTCTGTTACCTCAAGGTTTGCTTTGTAATCTTGGCAACTTGCATCAGCCCTACTCCCACCCCAGGTCTCCCTGTCCCAGCTAGTGTCCTGGTCCAACAAAGCACCCCCACCAGCACTGATGTGAAAAACTCATGGAATCTCAACAATTCAGAGTGCTTGCTGCTCTTGCAGAGGACCATTACCCACACCCAGTGACTCACAACTGCCATAACTTCAGTACAGGGGATCTGACACCCTCTTTTGGCTTTTATGGAAACCAGCATGTGTGTGCATATACACACAATAGATACATGCACATAATTGATATGTGCACACAATAGATACGTGCACACAATAAATATGTACATGCACACAATAGATAGTGCAACAATAAATATGTGCACACAATAAATACATGCACACAATAGATACATGCATATAGACAGATAATAAATCTTTAAAAGAACAATAATAGAAGTTTTCACAAGTTTACAGTAGATATTAGAACAAGTTAAACAGGCCACTCCAAGTTTCCTGATGTCAGACTGAAGTTCTCAGAACTGGGTGACTTAACATAGTGTACCCCCATTAAGTCCTGAAGGCCAGTAGGGAACATGAAGCAGGAGAGAGGGGCTGCTCTGGGGAGGCTCTGAGGAGCCTATATTCCCAGATCTGTTGGGTTGTAACTGCAGAATTCCCAGAGATGGCTTTCTCCTCTTTTGGTCAAACTGTGATCCATCTGTAGGTCATTTCAAATTGCCTCTTTTTAGGGGATACCTAGCATTCTGGATTCAAGCTAATAACCTTTTAATGCCTCCAGATACAAAGATCCTGTTTCCAGATGAGGTACCCCTCACCTCTGACCTGCACTGTCACCACCACCTCTGACCTACCTCTACCTTTGAGTGCCCAGTGAGGAGAGATTTATCAGAAGTTCATCTTCCTCCAATCCCCAGGCCTGGGCTGGAGGGGCTTGGAGCAGTGGCTGTGGATTGCCTAGCATAGGCATTTTGGGGTCCTGTAGCATGACTTAGCAGTGTGCATTTTGGTTGCATGACAGACTTAGAGAGCTGAAAGTTCTAGAAAGTAAGGCATGCCCAGTCACCTGGGATATATCACTACTCTCCTGCCTAACTCAGTATTGTTTCATCCCCCTTAACAGGCTGTGACCTGCCGAGGTGACACAATTGCCCCAGATGGTGGAGATCACACTGTCTGTGCCCTGTTGTCAATATTCCTGAGACACAGGAGGAGTAGGAGTGGGGTCTCTGAGTCCCCAAGGTGGGAAGTGTGCTGGGAGACAGCCACCCATGACTGTGCCTACTGTCCCACAGTGTTTAGTGTTGCCTGGGGGCTCATATTATGACCAGAGAGGTACTTAAAGTGCTTTAATTTTTTTTTTGAGATAAATATTACATAGGTCAGTCAGTCTGACCTAAAACTTCTCATAGAGCTGAGTATGACCTTGCTTCCCAAGGGCTGGGATTACAGGTGCGCATAACCATGCCCCAGTTTTATACAGGGCTGGGGATGAAGCTCAGTTGGTAGCCTGCTTGCCATTTAAATCTTCATTCCATGAAGTGCATTTTTAACAGTAAAGCTTATCTGCCTGTCTTCCAACCCTAAGCTTTGTTCCTGATAGTAACTAGTGTGAATTGTCTCAGCTATTTCTTCAGATACTCATTTAAAAACAACAAGGTCTTGCTGCCATTGTGTTTCAGAAGGCATTCTTGAGAGGAAAGGAGAATCCAATTCTCACAAGGGCCCTTTTCCAAATATCCATTTCCTCTCATCCTCCAGAAAGAGCTGTTTGCTGCTGTTCTGTGTTTATGTAGTGCGACCGTGTACACATCTTCCTGGCAAGATGTGTAGGAACAGTGGCTAAATTTCCCCTTTTCGTGTTTGATTACGTTTTCTGTTTCCTTCCTTTTAATAATTCCTAGGGCTTTCAGCAACTTTCCCAGAATCCTCTCTGATGGTTCATATAGAATGTGCCTTCCAGTAGCTTCCGGGAAGGTGCACTAGTTTCCAATGGCTACTATAACAAATGGTCACTAACAGGGGAGCTTACAAACAGAAAGCCTTTTGTAGCCCTGAAGGTTGTGCTTGTCAAAGGGCCATCGGAGCCCTGCTCTGCTCTGCTAGACCCTGAGAGCACTTCCTAGCTCTTCCGTGGCTTCGGGAGGAGGCTGTCAAGGCTTGTTCCTTGGTTTGCAGCTGTTTCATGCCAATCTCTGTGTCACTGTCACTTGTCATTCTTTGTGTGTCTCTGGGCCCACATTCCCTTCTTTTTATAAGTACACCAGCTATATTGATTTAAGGGCAGCCTTCAGGAGGCCTCATCTTTACTATAGTTGTCATGACCCCTTTCTCGACACAAGGTCATCATCTGACATCTACAGTCCGTAGCACCCTCATAAACACTCTATATTTAGGGTTTGTTTTTAACAGTTTCAGTTCTCAGACATGAACTTTATAGGTGACTTTATAGGTCATACTGTAGTGTAAAAGATTCACAGACCTTGAAGACATCAGTCCCTCACCCAAGCATTGCAACCTGTTTCGTTAACTAGAAGGGAACACAGTGATCCCTAGGGTGCCCTGTGTGAGTTTTGACAGGTGCGAATGCACTACAGTCCAAGTGCTTGCCAAAAGCCACATTCCCATCTTTGCATGGCTGTGATGAGACTGTGTAGCGTGGCCTCCTGGTACCTGCCAATCACTTTCTTGCCCCACACAATAGCTTCCCTCTGTGCTCTTGCAGGAACCTTGAACTTGGACAGCCAATGACTCACAGCATCTGCAGCTCACAGGCTCAACTGGCCACACTGGGCCATGTTCCAGGCTGTCTCAGAGCTGACACTGGCCAGGGCCTGGACCCTCAAGGATTTGGTGGCAGTATGACCTGCAGGAGCCAGGGCCCTGACAGGGAAGTCAAGATCCAGGTGCACACTGAAGCCACCACGTGGTTGCACCCCTGTCATCTCATGCACATGCCTGTACGTGCAAGTGTATGAATGTCTTTGCTTGTGCATATGCATGCGTGTATACAGCTTGGTTTTTTTTTTTTTTGTCAAATTTACACAAATTAAACTTAATTGACAAAATGCCTCCACCAGATTGCCAGTAGGGAAGTCTACAGTGCATTTTTGTAATTAGTGATTGACGGGGGAGGTCCTTGCCCATTGTGAATGATCCTGCCCTTGGGCAGGTGGTCCTGAATGATATACAAAAGCAGTCTGAACAAGCCACCAGGAACAAGCCAGCAAGCAGCACTCCTTCACACTTCCATCTCCAGTTCCCATCTCCAGCTTCCTACCTACAGTTTCTGTCCTGACTTCCCTCAGTGATGGCACGTGGCCTGAGACTCAGAAGAGGAAACAAACTCCTACCCAAGTTGCTTTGGGTCTTGGCATTTTATCACATCAATAGAAACCCTAAGACAGTGTTTGTGAATATTTGTGTATGTGCTGTGTATGTGTGTACATGTGTGCATATGTGCCTATCTGTGCCTGCACACACATGGGTGTGTGTGTGTGTGTGTGTGTGTGTGTGTGTGTGTACTAGGCTGAGAGTAGATAGAACAAGGGCCTCTTCTAACCTAGACAAGCCCTGTGTCTTGTTGCCTCCTCCTGTCATTACTTGCACAGGAGCTGGGTTCCCTGCTGCTGACACCTCCTACACACAGGGAAAACTGGATACAGGGACTGGACTCAGCCAAAGTTACCAGAACTGTCACCAAAAGAACCTAAAAAGAGACTCCATAAAGAGAGTCCAGATCCTATATTTTTGCTTAGCAGCTTCTGGGGTGTGTGTGTGTGTGGGTGGGTCAGATGGCTCCTTGCAGACATTAGGCCACTAGAGTGACAGCTTTGAGGGAGCAGCTGACATTACTCAGAGACTTCAGTGAAGGGTCTTTCTCTCACCATGCCATGAACAGAAGTATGGCAGGGTAAGGACAGGCGCTGTCACCCAGACTGCCCCAGAAAATCCTGCTCCAAGCCCTTTCTTTACTGGAGCAGTGCAGGATGAGGGAGGGTCCAACCCACCACAGCCCTTGTGGGCAACTTGATTTCTTCTTGTGCATCACAGTCCTCTCTGGACAAAACAGTCCCCTCTGGGACAGTGTGGTGCCCTCTGGGACAGTGTGGTCCCCTCTGGGACAGTGTGGTGCTCTCTGGGGCAGTGTGGTGCCCTCTGGGGCAGTGTGGTCCCCTCTGGGACAGTGTGGTCCCCTCTGGGGCAGTGTGGTGCCCTCTGGGACAGTGTGGTCCCCTCTGGGGCAGCACGGTGCCCTCTGGGGCATCCCTGGGTAGACAACACTGGTGAATTATTCCTGATGATATCAGGAGGTGGCTGGGTGTCAGGGACAGCTAGGGTAGGAGTGTGAGAAAGAGATAGCAGCTGGTTCCTAAGGCCACCAGCTGGTGGGGATGGTAACTTAGATGAGCCCAGGTTCCAGAGAGGCTGGGCCTGCTGCACAGTGGCAGTGGATGGGTTTTAAAGAAAGGATAAGTGGCACACTGTAGTTTCCACATGAACAGCTGGTTGGAGAAGCTAACATGGGGAAGCCCCATCACGGAGTCCAGCATTTGGCCTTACCCAATTTTGCCTTGAGAGTGTTCAGTCTGGGGTAGAGGGTGATGTATGAGGCTTGGGCTGGGGACTGGGGACTGAGGGCTGGGGCCTGAGGAAGGACCATGGTCATAGGCCTCCTCCAACCCCAATACAAGCCAGAGTTACACCTGTTCCTCCAGGCTCTGGTGACCACAGGGTGACCCAGGGAGCAGAAGCTACTTGCCAGAATGTGCCCCTTGGAATTCAGAGATGGTGTCTGCTAAGAGATGGTCCTAGCAAGATAATAGTTTCACCCTAAATCAAAGAGGAGGTAGTTGTACTTGCTTGGCTCAGAGTTATAGAAAGGGTTTTCTTTAGGGTCCTATAAGGGAGAGCCATCCCACCCTCCTCCTCCCACTGGAGGCTTTGCACAGACAGACTTGGCTGGAGGAGCTGTGAAGGATGAGAAGTTCTCCAAGTAGAAAAGAGAATGCAGGGCAGCTAGCAGGGGGGAATAAATGGCTCAAAGGCCCTGCTCATTCACCTGGCCTCCTTGCAGGTTTCCATGGTGACAGCCTTGATGCCAGACCTCATCCACAGTAGGAGTGAGCTTGAATCAGCCTGGAGAACAGCCAGGACAGGAAGGTCCTGCACTGCTGGCTAAAGAGCCCTGACAGGAGCTGAGCCTCACAGCAGCCTACACGCATATAGAGAGAGAAGGCCAGTGCCAGGTGGCCCTTGCAGTTGGGAGACCCTGGGTCCCCTTCCCCCTCTCTGTTTGGCCTGTGACCTTGGGCCTCCTTGAACATCAATTTCTTCTAGACAACAGGCATATTAGTGTACACTGTAGGGTAAAGGAGAGCAGGCTCTGCTTCCTTAGCCCAGAAGTTCCTGATGCTGGTGGGAGGGAGGGGGGCCTGGGAGGTAGAGCGTGGTGGTTGGCCCTGAGGACTGTGTGGGCTGGCCATAGGCTGCATCAGGCTCAGTAGCCATTCTGGCAGTCAATCCCAGGGTGCAGGTGGTAGGAGGCAGCCTTTGTCTCTCTGTGTATGAGGGTCAGCTGCCGGCTTTCCCCTAGCAGTGGGTCCTTCACCCCCCTAAGCTCTGTTCTCATCACAGCCCCCAAAGACCCAGGTGCTGCTCACAGTCCTGGGGACTGGTGTCCTGGGCCAGCCTTGAGGCCTGCAGCTGGAGGGAGAGATGGAGCAGAGGCAGCAAGGCAAGACGTTATACCAGAAGTGGGGAACACTGCTCCTCAGGTATGTGCCCTTCCCTGAAGCCATCACCCCTAGGGATGTCCACAATACCATTCCTCCAGTGTGGAGGATCTCAGGCGCTTCTAAAGAAACTGTACTACAATTCAAAAGGATCCCATGGTGACAGGCCACCAGCCCTGAAGCTCCTTCCAGGGGCTCCATCAGTTGGCAGAGGTATGAATGGGAGTCTGCTGCTTTTGGTTGAGCCTGAGAGCTGCTCCCAGGAATCTTAGTGCATTACTGTAGAACGGCTGGTTGAAAGCTGTTCAGGCTTGGGTTGTGCCTCAGCTGATAGTATTTGGCTAGCCTGCATGGAGGGCTATATCAGTCCCCAGTAATTTAAACCAGGTCTAGTGTCACATGCTTGTAATCCCAGCACTCAGAGGCAGAAGGGTCAAAAGTTCCAGTTCATTCAGGAAATAGGAAGTGTTAGAAGAAGCAGATCCCTTCTAGAACCCAGGTCCTGACACTCTGAGATCTTGGGAGAGTTGCCTCCTCTATCAGAACTGTGAAATATGAAAAAGCAGCAACGCCAAGAGTTGACAGAGAGCTCATTTGTCCATGTTGGTTGGTGTTTGCTCCATGTGCTATGTGCCAAGCCTTGATCCAGGCTCAAGGAAAGTGGCAGAGACCAAAAAGAAAAGAAGGGGATGCTTGATCTTAATACGCAGAAGTCATCTCAAATGACAGCCCTGCAGGAGTTGAGGATGACTGCCATTATTGCCCCACTTTAAAGGTGGGGAAACTGAGGCATGGGACATTAGGTCCTTTATCCAAGGTTGTTCATCCAGCTGAACTGAGCCTGGATTTCAGATGTGGTCCTGGGCTTCCATTCCAACTGCTGACCTCACTGATGTAGTGAGATGGCAGATGGGGATGGCTGGCAAACTATATATGTGTATGCTTGCTGAGACAACGTTACAGTGTGTAGTCCAGGTGGGCCTAGAACACATGATCCACCTGTCTCTGGCTTTTAAACATCAGGATTACAGGTATGTGCCTCCACAGTAGGCTTCTTATTTCCTTGTCTTTTTCCATGTATGTGTGTGCGGTGGGTGAATGTTTACATGTGTATGGGGCATGTGTGTGCACATGCATGTAGAAGGCCCAGGTTAATCTCAGGAATCATCCTCAGTCATTTTCCACCTTGTTCTATAAGGCAGAATCTCTCAATCAAAGCCCAAGCTCTCCAACATGTCTATTTGCCTTTGGGGTCCCACCTGCCCCTTCCCAGGCTAGATTAGAAACGAATCACCACACCCAGCTGGGATTTGTGTGGGTTCTGGACTCTGAACCCTGGTCTTCTCACTGGTGGTAAGCGTTTTAACCACTGAGTCATCTCCCTGGCCCCATGCCAGACTTTGATGGGCAAATCTTAGTGCTTCGGCTGCTATGAGCCCTCCAGTGTCACTCTCTGTGAGTTTAGGACTAGATACATGTGACTGGAAGACACAGCTGTCCCTGATCTTGCCAGCTGCCTTAATGTCTGCAGCCTGTTTTTTTCGGCACCTCGGGCACACCTGGCACCTCCTGGTCCCTCAGAGCCTCCTCTTAAAGGGGACCTTCATGGTAGACAAACAGTGCAGGCATCACTGGAGACCAAGGCTGCCCTGAATGGCCAGGAGGAGGTCCTACACACTGTGGTGTTGGGCTGCCAGGCTGGACACCCCTATGTAAGTGTATTGTGATTCAATAGGGATCAGGAGGAACAAATGGGCCAAATAGATGTTTATTCAGGGAGAAATAACTTACAACATAGATGAACACCAGCAGTTCCTGCTCCCAAGGATGCCTCCAGATGTTCTCCTGTCCTTGTGCTGCAAACAAGAGAGCACTCCTGGACTCCTCCTCAGACCTAGTTCCCCAGGTCACTTCCGTCCCTGTCTCCACCCACAATGGGCGTGGTCAGTGCCGTAGATGCAGACAAAATGAATATCTCACTACAATTCCCCTTTTAGTCTAAAGAAAAGATTTAGGTTTGATACAAAACAGTGAATAAAAAGTGTGCTCTAAGAAAAGGAAAATCGAGAACATACAAACTTAAGACCTACTTATCTAGTCCTAGGGTAAAGGCATAACAGAGTTTACAATAGAGTTGTTCTAAGCTGGAAAGCTTAAGTCTAGTACCTAATATATCTAACTAGGAAGAGAGAATAATAGTTGTGAAAGTTTAATCTTCAACATCATCAAAGACCTGAGAAGGAAAATAACAATACTGGGGTAGACAGGAAGTGCAAATGGGCAACTTCCAAAAGGTACAGCAAGGACAGAAACAGCAGGCTACCTGGACAGTCAGTCACCCTAGTTCTCACAGCAACATTGGTACACCCAGTTTTGGATAAGGCCAAGAGTATTTGACAGGCCACAACAACAACAGGGAGGTAGAAAGGCTGTCTTACCCTGACTTGGCGAGGTTCAGCAGTCTTCTATGTTTGTCTCCTGCAAGCACATAGCACCGCACGTCCAAAACAGTGGTCGAGGTGGGGAGCAGTTCTTTGCCCAAGAGGCCATTAGCCGAATTGAGAAAGGACTCCAGAAGGAGCGACAACAGTGTCCAACATATTTTCGGGAAAGTGCACGGTGCTGTCAGGAGCAATAGTGTCTCATGTCAATGGAATACTAATATTAAAACATTTAAATGTCATGTTCTGCAGGTCTATGAAGTGACTGAAGATTAAGCATCTATGTCTGACTAATCTCATAGGTATAGGAAACAGGGGTAAAGATAATCTGTAATATTCAGGAACTTAGCTAAAAAACTGATTGAAACTTCCCTAAGTAAAGCAGGGACAAATACCTAAGCAATATAACTATATATATATATGTAAATCCCTAAAACAGAGGTAGAGTAGAAATGTCTAGAGCAGAGGTAGAACTATAAAGTGTAAAATGATAAAATGATAAAAATATCCTAAATTATATCAATATACAAAATGTCTTGGACATAAGTAAAAGTATACATACATAGAATATGCTAAAAATAATGTGCATAAAACATCATAAACAGAAAGATTTTACACAATGTGACAAAACATAATATACAATTCTTCCAGGAAGAGAATATAAACTTAATTTTACATAGGTTACCACATTTAAGAATCTATAACAATGTAAGCTGTATTATCTCATTGTTACTAAAATAGTAAGAAGATAGGCAAGTTTACCTATATCCCATCTAAACCATACCTTTCCCAACCATACCCTACCCCTGCCTAAAAGAGATACCCAAGTCTAAGCATCACCCAACCCTAAGTAACTAAAACCAACCCTGAAAAGATGAATATTATCCCTAAACTCCAAGAGTGGGGAAAGGGGGCGTCATTATCTTAAGATTACTTCCTGCTGAAATGGGACGATGATTGCTCCATGGGATCCTGTAGGAAGAAAGTTTTTAGCAACCAAATTTCTCAACAGGACTGGCTGTGACATATGTAGCTAGTCACTGTGTGGCAGGAAATGCTTGACTGGAGTTCTATCTGAAATTCTGGCCAGGGTGTAATAAGTAGGTGCACCATAACATCTAGCTAGTCAGGAGTTGTCTCGAGCAAAACAGTCTCAAACTTGTTTTAGGGTGATGTTTGTAGTCCAGATGCATCAGGTGAGTCAAGTGGAAATGACGAAGTGGGGCCCCTTCTTTCCGGAGAGTTCAGGATTGCTGTTAGAAATTGTTATTATTCCTCGTAGAAAACTTAAACATCAATATCAAAGTAAAATTTTCAAGTTTTAAGGTATGCATATAGGGAAAGGCCATAATAAGCACTAAAATGTATATGAGAAAATTAGGATTTTAGAGAGAAAATTGTGTATAAGCAAATGAGGCCCCAGATTTTGTTTTCTTCTGCCATACACAAATTGGCTTCTTGATATAAGGCAGAAACTGTGAATTCAATCTTAACAACATGCTTGAATTTAGGGAAGGAAAGCCAAATCCAACTCCAAAGCCAGCACTGGTTTACATGAACTGAGACTAGAGGAATACTAGATAGTAAAGAGAAATAGATTCCTGCATAGAAATAATTTACTAGAATTAAATATTTTTAGCATAAATCAGATTCCTTTTCATTAAGTGATTCTTTCTGGTGAGCTATCTTCTGTAGGTACCTACATGTTCAGTGTCTTTTGGCTGTTTGAAGGTGGGTGTTCTCTGTTTTCCTGTAAGGACAAGAACAGAACATTTCCCCTACCTTTGAGAGGTCTCTGCACATCCCATGGGAACCTATTTCAACATGGCCTTCTGGATAAAGGAGATTCAGGGATCTGGAGATGGGGCCAGGTTTCCATCTTTGAGGGTAGCAGGAGGGTCATGGTCAAACACACAGAGAGTGAACTTTGGAAGAGCCAAGGAATGCAGATGGCCTCTGGAGCAGAATGGGAAAAGGGGGGCTTTTTCCAAACCATTTCTGCAGGCAATGGTGTTGGTTCCAGTTTTAATTCAGTGAGACTCCTTTGCTGTTCTGAGCTCAGGGCCTGAAAATCATGATTAAAGTTGCTACATTTGGGGCAATATGTAACCCAACAAAAGGAAGCACAATATCAATTATTAACTCAGCTGCTGCTGGCCACCAGTGATACCATTCCTGTGTGTATTACAGAGAATTCTGACCGCCTGCCCCTGGGACTCATACACAGTCGCTCACACTGTATAAGCAAGCATGGTTTATCTTGGAACCAAGATGGCAGGAAAGGAAGCAGCCGGAGAGGAAAATGTGTGTGACAAAATCTTTTGGTTCTTTTTTGAGTGCAGGGCTAGCACTCAGCGCCTAGGCAATCACTCTCCCACGGAGTTACCTCCCAGCCAAGGCACAGCTTCGAGCAGAAGACAGTGGGAAGACAGTAAGTGGAGGATTCTCCAGCCCTGGCTCCTGGCCAGATGTTGTCAGCTGGGATTTGAGTCTAAGCAAGACCAGACCTTCTTATTTTTCTTTTCTTATAAACAGCAGAAATCCTGGCTTCGTCTAAAATCTCTTAATTCTCAAGATAGGCAGGCCAAAAACACACGTGTGGCTGTGTTTGGCCTGGAGTGTCACTCGGCAATCTCTGGCTGAGGAACCCATGAAAGCCACTGGGAACCACCCCTGCAGGTGTCTGGCTTGGCAGTTGATACTGTTTCCCCTCAGGGACCGGAGCAACCACTGACAGGCGCCCTGACTCATGGGAAGTTAGTCCTGGAATCTGGAATCTGCTCGGCCCCCACTGCCTGCTTGGCTCCATCTTCCTTCCTGGAGAAGAGAAGCACTATTTTATTCCTTGTGCACAATAGGTGTTCAATAAAAGCTTGTTGGAGATTGTGGGGATCCCCCTGCCCCAGAGGGTCGGGAAAAATTGTCCGAGGAGGCCTGGCAACCATGTCGTACGCAAGTACTTAGGGGAGGTTACCAATTATATTCTGAGCTGTGGCTGCTGTGTGAAAAGGGACACGGTGCCCACTTAACAGGAAAAGGAACTGAGGCCCAGGGATACAAACCTGTAACGACACACAGGCAAGAGTCTAGGGTGAGTGTGCTAACGCTTTGCAGATCAGGACTACAGACTGCAGCCCACGCACTGGCCCACGTAGCTAGTTTTCTTTATTGGATTTTAAACAAGCTTTAATTTTTATGTATTTTTTAAATTTTATTTTGACACAGGATCTCACCATATAATCCTTGCTTGTCTGGAATTTTACCAGCCTCAAACTCCTAGAAGTCCTCCTGACTCTGGCTTCTGCTACTTGGGTTTTAAATCATGTGTCTGCAAGAGGCCACCACCTGCCTGGGACTAGAGTTAAAGGTGGTTGTGGCTGCTGGTGACTGGACTAGGGTGCTCCAAATGAGCAGGAAGTGTTCTTAACTGCCCTCCAGCCCCATAAAGTTGTGTTGGGACATAGTCACATGTACTCACTAAACAACTGCTTACTGTGCTTTCACATTGAACAGGGGCATGAAGTTGCTGTGACAGAGGCCATGAACCCACAGGCCTAAAAGAGACACTGTTAGCTCTGAAGGCTAACAGACTATAAATAGCATCAAACTAACTAAATTACAGTGACTCCTCAAGCGATTATGCAGCACACCCCTTCTGGTGTGGAGAGATGGTGACTGGGAGAAACCATGGGAACATTATAGACCGGCGTAACAACCAATATGAGCAGAAAGATAGTGAGAATGTAGTGCACATGTCATGTAGGTGCTCAAAGCTGAACTGGGAGTGGGGATGAGAAGGACTATGGGTGCAGGCAGGAAAGTGTACCAGGAGACCTGAGGTGACTACCCAGATGGCAGAGGGAACAGAAGCTAAAGAAGCAGTGACAGCTCCAACCTCAGAATGTACCCGAGGTCCTGATCAGGAAAGATGCAGGCTAGGCAGTGGATGGCCTGGATGAAGCAGCTGTGGCAGCAGAGACCAGGGTTAGGCTTGCCATCCTAAGACAAGCTGTGAAGAGCAGGAGTGGAACAATCTGTGAGCTTCTTGTAAAGGTTCTTGTGGCTGCAATCAGACAGCAGCAGGGGCATGTGGCAGACAGAGAATCCAGGCAGGGAAACATTGTCTGGGTCAGAGGTGATAAAACTGAACAGGGACAACTGGATTGGAAAATCACTTACACTGCTCAGATTCCAAGCCACCAGGCACCCCTCCAGGCTCCTGTGGATAGTCTTATAGAAGGGATGGGTCAGGCCTGTGCAGAGCTGGGAGAGACATACATGTGCAGAGGTCAACGGGTAGTCTGCCTCCAGGAGCCACCATTCCTACAGCTGTTTGGAGACATTGTTGACACGGGTGATGATGTAACTATCATAATTAATAAATCTTGGCCTCCTAGATGGTCCCTACAAGAGGTAAATGTTCAATTCTTAGGCATTGGAACCCTGTCTCAGGTAAAACAGAACACAGGATGGATTGAATGTATAGGACAGGAAGGACAGAGAGGAAGGTTGAGACCATATATGGCTGATATAGCAATAAATTTATGGGGTTGTGGTCTATTACAGGATTGGAATGCACAGATTAACATTCCTCCAGTATTAGATAGGAACCATAAACGACCTCATGATTGTGGAAAAATATTATAAAGTACCACACAAAACAGACACCAAATATGTAGGCTGTACAAAAACAGAATACAAGTGCCAAACAAACAGAGGAACCCAAAGCCCTACCCCTAAAATGGCTAACAGAGGAACCTGTCTGGGTAAGACAATGGCCTATGACTTCTGAGAAGTTAGAGGCTTTAGAAAACCTGGTTCAGGAACAGCTAAATGCTAGACATATGGAGGAATCTACCAGCCCTTGGAACTCACCTGTATTTGTTATCAAAGGAAATCTGGTAAATGGAGAATGCTTACAGACCTGAGAGCCATCAATAAAGTTATCCAGCCAATGGGCTCTCTACAGCCTGGAATGCCCTTGCCTTCTTTGATACCTAAAGAATGGCCTATTATAGTTATTGACTTAAAGGATTGATTCTTCACTATACCTTTACAAGAACAAGATAAAGAGAAATTTGCCTTCACGGTACCTAATTACAATAATTCTCAACCGATGAAGAGATATCAATGGAAGGTTTTGCCACAGGGAATGCTAAACAGCCCCACCCTGTGCCAATATTTTGTGCAAAAACTGTAGGAAATAATTCGTAAACTGTCTCCACAATCCATAATTTACCATTACATGGATGATATATTGTTAGCTGATTCTAAAGTAGAAATATTAGAAAAAATGTTTGAGAAAGTAAAGGAAGTTTTACCTCGCTGGGGATTACAAATTGCACCTGAAAAAATACAAAAAGGAGATTCTATCAACTACTTAGGATATAAAATAGGTCTATAGAAAATTAGACCACAAAAAGTACAGACCAGGAGAGATTGCTACCAGACCCTTAATGATCTTCAAAAATTACTAGGAGAGATTTCTCAACTGCAAACCATTATTGGAGTAGAAGGGCATGATTTGAAAAACTTGAAAATGGCTCTAAAAGGGCACAAGGACATGAATAGTCCACCAATACTATCAACTGAAGCTGAAAAGGAATTAGAATGGGTAGAAAAGAGGATACTAGAAGCCCATGTGGATCCAAAACTAGACTATATTCTGGCTATATTACCATCTAGAGAATATCCTTCAGGGATTTTGATGCAGAGGGAAGATATCATATCAGAATGGATATTTTATCACATAAACAAAATAAAAAACTAAAAACATATATAGTAAATCTCTCTGACTTGATTATAAAAGATAAATTAAGACTTTGTCAACTGACAGGAAGGGACCCAGCAGAAATTATAGTACCTTTAACTAATGAGTCCTGTGCATGTGTAGCCATCAGAGAACAACTTGAAGAAGTCAGTTCCCTCCTCCCACTGTGAAGCCCCTTAGGACTCAGGTTATCAGGACTATAGGGGAGTGTCTTTACCTGCAGAGCCATTTTGTCAGCCTGAGACCTTTTCTTAAAGAAACACACACACACACACACACACACACACACACACACACATCCCTAAATAAGACAAAACAAAACATGGAGCATGCTGGGGGAGCTGAGCAGGGCCTTCAAGAGTGAAGGGTATAATTCCTCCTAGATGTTTCCCCAGACCCTCCACTTGAATGGTGGCTTTGATCTCACAAGGCGTTGTTGACAAGGAGCACTTGACTTCAATGAAGAAATATAAGCTTCTATCAAACACAATACCACATCCCAGGTCAGAGATGGGACTCTTCCCCATGTGAGGAAAAGGGGTATTAATAGTCTACTGAAGGGGACTAGGGTTGTGGCTCAGTTGGTAGAACACTTGCATGGTGTACATGAAGCCCTGACATCCATCTTCAGCACAGTTTAACTCAGGCATGGCGGTACACACCTGCAATTCCACAGGAGGGAAGAGTGGATAGGAGGAGGGGATGAAGAGCTTGGAGCTCCAGAAGAATCGAGGCCAGATAGCAGGGGACCTTCAGTCATCACCTAGGCCAAGTGGTCTTTACCTTTGGAGCATGAAGGCTTGGGTTTCTCCATTAGATGTGGAGAGAACTCTAATTTTCCTCCCAACCTTGTCCTGTGTTGGTGTCTAGGTAAAGCCATGGTGTCTTAGTTAGGGTTTCTATTGCTGTGGACCGAGGCAACTACTACAAAGAAAAACATTTAATTGGGTGGTTTACAGTGTTAGAGATTTATTCCATTCTCATCACAGCAGGACATGGAAGCATGTAGGCAGACATGGTGCTGGAGAAGGAGCTAAGAATTCTACATCTCGATCCCAGGAAGTGAACTGTCTACCACACTGAGAATAGCTTGAGCATAGTAGACCTCAAAGCCCACCTCCACAGTGACACACTTCTTCCAACAAGGCCACACATACTCCAACAAAGCCATACCTCCTGATAGTGCCACACCCTGTGGGGCCACCTCTTTTATACCCACAGACATGGGATCCTTTGGGAAGGACTTCTTGGGCAGGAACACTGTACTATCAAGAAGGAGTCCAGAAAGACTTCTAGATGTGAAACTGCACAAATTGAAAATATAAACTTGGTGACTGGAGAGATGGCTCAGCAGTTAAGAGCACTGGCTGCTCTTCCAGAGGACCCAGGTTCAATTCCCAGCACCCACATGGCAGCTCTAACTCCTGTTCCAGTTCCATGCTCACACAGACACATATGCAGGCAAAACACCAATGCACATAAAATAAAAATAAAATTTAAAAATGTAAAAAGAAAATATAAACTCAAATTTGGTTTCCAGCACCCCTGCTAACAGCTTTATGGCTTTGGCTTCAGCACTTCACTCTGTCCTGCCTCAGTTTTGCTAGCTGGAAAATGGAGGTGTCCATAGCTGTGTGAAGCAGGCAGTCAGTCCATGCTCTGTGTTCATGAGTGTGGCATTGTGGTCAGAGGGAGTGCACTTCAGGACCAGCGGAGGCAGCATGAGTGGGCAGCCTTTCATTCAGAGCCATTCATAAAGCCCGTTCCGCTCCTGTGGGCTGAGAGTGGGTGTGAATGGAGGGATGGAACAGTGGTGCTATGTCTGTTCAGGATGGACACTCCCCCCCCCCCCCGTGTGTGTGTGTGTGTGTGTGTGTGTGTGTGTGTGTGTGTGTATTTTAAAGGACACACAGAATCTCATGTGTCCTATGCTAGCCTTGAGTTTAATATGCAGCTTAAGATGGCTTTGAACTCTGGACCCTACTGTGTCTACCTCCAGAGTTCTGGGATCCCAGCCATGCACCACTAAACCCACTTTATGTACCTATGTACCCTCTGCACCTCTCAGGGTCTTGGTATATTGCCCAGGCTGACTTGAAATAAGTAAAACTCCTATCTCAAGCCTCCAGTGCTGGAATTATAGGTGTGTGCCACCATATCTGGCTAAAGAACCAAGTTTTGCCCATGTGGAGCCACACTCACTGGTCTGGGACCGTACAGCCTGCTGGGCTCCTGGGAAACACAGAGAAATTAGAAGGGGACAGTGGCATGTTCTGGAAGCTCTTGGCCACAGCTACACATAGGAGTTCAAGTCATCCCCCTTCCTCTCTACTCGTCTCTCTTTTTGAGGCAAGGTTTCCCATTGTGGCTCATGGGTTGTCCAACTCATGATCCTCCTGCCTCAGCCTCCTAAGAGCTGAGGTGACAGGCACGTGCCAGTTTAGGTGTCCTCTGCTGCTTCCTCTACTCTGTCAAATACAGATGTGTGCTCTGGGCGCAGACTCAGGAGCTGGGGTTGGGAACCTTGGCCTGGTTTCTCCTGTTTGTCATCAGGGGCCCTTGGAGTTGTGTTGGGCTGGTGTGTCTCTTAGAAGGAGGTCATGCTCTTCCAGGCTTCTGCTGACCCTTCATCACTTCCAGCTTCCTGCCCTCTGCCTTCTTACAGGTTCAGGCTGCCACAGTTCCTCACAAGGAACACAGAGTGGACATGTCCCTGTCTGGGTGTGTGTCTGGCCATAAACTGCTTCTACTAGCAAGCAATGTAGGAGGAGTCACCAGGGCTGGAACATGAGAGTCTCCCTCTGCCAAGCTGTCTTCAGCAACCCAAGAACCCTTCATATGCAGTTGTCCTCCATGGTCACCTCAGCAAGGTAATCACCCCTGCATACCTTGAGAAAGCCTTAGGACCTCCAGGGACCAAGGCTAGTGTTGGGAGAAGCCACCCCCACAGGCCCTGATTCTTGAGAGACCTGGGTCAGTGATGGTATACCATTCTTGATAAAAAGGCTCTGAGAGGACAGGAGGTTGGCATTAGCTTTCCACATACTCCTTTACTCGTATACTCTGGAAACTGCAGCAGGAGAATTGTGAGTTTGAGTCCAGGCAGGGGCACAAAGAGAGACTGTACCTCAAATCATGTCTTTCCCAAAAGAAGAAACAAGTCACCAGACTGCCCTGCTCCTCTCTGACCATTCATTGGCATACCCAGAATGCCATGTAGTTTAGAACCTGGGGCTGGGGCTCGGTTGGACCAGGACAGTTATTCCTTCCTCCGGCTCCCAGGACTTCCATTCCACAGCTTCTCAGCCATATGTCTGATTATATCCCTACCCCATCTACAAAGACTTGAGGCAAAATATTTTATTATGATTATTATTTTGAAATAGGATCTTACTGTGTAGCCCTGGCTGTCCTAGAACTCATTATGTAGACCAGGAAGGATGGCCTCAACCTCACACAGGGCCACCTGCTTCTGCCTCCCAAGTGCTGGGATTAAAAGTGTGATTGCCACACTGATTCGAGGCAGATTATTAAACATGAGTGCACATCTGTCACCGTGACAGGGCCTGTTCTAGGTCAGGACCTAGAAGGGTCTCCATCGAGGTCTGGACCGGAGTTCTCAAGCTTTGAGGCCATATGGTGACAGGCTGAGAACACAGCAGTGTGGGCTACTAGGAAACAAAAGAGCTGGATTGCCATCCAGGAAAACCTGACTGTAAAAACCAGTGGAAAAACTGGTTTACCAGCCTCGCTCTACATTAACAAATAAAACATTTGAAGCAACTGGCAAGATGGGAAATGAAAAGTAGAAGGGAAGGGGTGGTGCTTAAAGTGACACTGGCAGGGAAATGCAATGCTATAGGATTTAGAGTGCTTTCTAGTGAGCTTCTGGCAGCCAGTACAAAAAAGAAAAACCAACCAATGACATCAATGACAGTATCTGTAGTAGCTCTAAGGAAGCACACGTCCACATAGCTGTGTGCCTGGGCACTGGAGAAAACACAGCTGGCCCTGTGTTGACACTCAAAGGAAGATGTCCCATAGTGCGGCACAGAATTCGCTGTGATGAAAAAAGCTGCACCCCTCGCGCCAGCAGGACAAATGTAATGTCAGGCTTCAGGAATGCACTCCTCTCACTTGTCACCATGAACAAAACCTGTTGAGGGGCCAGGAGCCAGCTCAAATAGTCCAAGTTCACTTAGCTGTAAACCACGTCACAGAAGAGGCATTGTAAAGATAAGCACAAACAGTAATATATGCGCTCCTGGCCAGTCACTGCCTTGTGCATCCATTTCCTCATCTGGATGGTGGAGATTATGGCAGGGTTAGCCCTCACAGGGCTCCTGGGAGGGGGCCTGATAAGGTGCTTGGCAGTGACTGTGTATGGGGCAGTGTGTCATTAAGACTGATCTGTAACAGCACTGAAGCAGAGTCGAGGATGGAACCATTGTATTGTTTGCTTGTAGTCTTTGCACAACCAGTTCCCATCTGACTCACTGCTCAGCCAGATCTGTGCCAGGCTGGGGACCTGGGAGGGCAGGGACCACTGAGATGCAGCCTCTCTTCAAGACCTGCTTTGTTTGTCTCTAAATGGAGGAAGTGGTAAGGGCCCATTGAGAAGGAACATAGATGGCTTTCTGTGTGGAGAAAGGTCCCACAAGGGTTTGTACCTGAGTTAGTGTTTCTATCCGATTTCCTACTGGACAGTCAGAGAGGTCTCCATGTTTTGGGCACACAGCTAGAGAGTAGCACCCCTGGGTTTTGAACCTAGGCTTGCCTGACTCCAAAGCCTATGGTCTGGGTGCCCAACTTCCCTGTCTCCCTTTGTGTGAAGCCCTGGTAGAACACCACTGCAACGGTCTCCCCAGGACTTCCAGGAATGGCCACCCATTTACCATCTCTGTGTTTTGTTACTTTTCCTAGTTCTGGAACAAAATAGCTTCTGGAAGCCCCTTGGAAGGTAGTTATTCAGGCTTACCGTTTGAGGGTGCAGTACCCCACAGAGAGAGCAGCCCAAAGCTGTAGCAGGGGTATGAAGCCGCTGCTAACTTCTTGGTAGATAAGGCAACAGAGAATGGACAGGAAGTGGGGTAAGCCCTCAGTGACCCACTTCTCTACCAAGATTCCACCCTCCAAAGATTCTGCAACTCTCCCTAAACAGCACCTCCTGCTGGGGACATCTGAGCCTGCAGAAGACCAAAACAGTCCCCATCACATTTCTCCTAGGGTACAGCTGTTTTCTAAGGTGCTGCTGGACCAGGCCTCAGCACAGCTGCTCCTCAAGACACTGAGGGGAGGCGGAGTGGCTGGGTCCTCAGCCTGTGGAGCCTTGGCCAGCACTCAGTGGCTAGTGCACAAAAGTGCCCCGTGTCTTTAGTCTCAGGAGTGTGTTAAAGCAGAAGATGACATTCAGAGAAGGTGAGAGCCCAGAAACACTGTGACAGTCAGGGTCCTCTGGAGAACTGACAGAGTGAATATGTATAGGGGTTATTAGAGTGCCTCACAGGCTGTGGTCCAGCTGACCCAACAATGGCTATCTACCAGCAGAAGGGCCGATTCCAGAGGTTGTTCAGTCCATGAGGCTATCTTACAGAAGCATTCTTTAATGCCAGTGAAGGGATGGACATACCATCTAGAGTGAGGGCAAGCCGACAGAGAGCAAAAGCTTCCTTCTTCCATGTCCTTATATAGGCTGTCAACAGGTATGGCCCAGGTCAAAGGTGGGTCTTCCCACTTCAAATTATTTAATTAAGAAAAGTCCCTCTCGGGTGTGTCCAGCCTCTGGGTTTTAGTTAATTCCAGATATAGCCATCAAGGATGCCTTTGGCATCTTGGGCAGTTGCTTCTGTGAACGCCCGTGGTAGATTGACTTCGACATCAAGAGAACTTGGCAGAGAGTCTCCTACTAACAACACGGCAAAGACTCCCTTGTGCAGGGCATGTCAGTGCTGCTAATATTCAAACAAACAGTCTACCTCTAAAGGGGGCGCCTGGGCACAGAGCCTCTCAGCCATACTGTCTAGAACAGACCAGCAGCACTTACCTGGACCAGAGACCCAGTCAGGTGTGCTTGCTGCCAAGCACGACATAACTGAGTTTATCCCCAGGATCCAATCGGTGCTGGCTGTCCTCTCAGCCCCACATCTGCTGGTTTGCGGCCCACTCCCAATTTTATTTTAAAAGAATCCTCACCAGAAATGCTTGGGGTGGGAGTGTTTTTGTGTTTTGGGGCCTTTGGGGTTGGTATCTGCACAGAGTCCTAATCCTCAAATCCAAAGTGCTCCACAGTGGAGTCAGTGCTCCACCAGTTTTGGATTTTAGAACATTTGGGATTTTCAGACTGAGGCTGTGTCATGTGGGTTTTTGTGTTGTTTTGTTTTCTGAGTCAGGGTCATATGTAACCCAGGCTGGTCTCCTATTCTCTATGTTGCCAAAGATGAACTTAAACTCCTGATCCTCCTGTCTCTACCTCCTGAGTTCTGAGATTACAGGAGTGGACCACTATATCTAGTTTCCATAGTGCTGGGGTTTGCACCCAGGGCTCTGGGCATGCTCAGTGAGCACTCTACCCATTAAGCCCTATCTCCAGCCCCCTCCCATGGTGCTTTATCTGTCTATCTGTCTGGTTTTTTGAGACAGGGTTCTTTCAAAGCCTTTGCTGACCTAAAACTAGCTCTGTAGACTAGGTGGCCTTAAACTTACAGAGATCAGCCTGCCTCTGCCTCCTGAGGTGTGTGCCACCACTACCCAGCAGTGCTTTTTATTTTGACCCACTTTCAATCTTCTGAAGTCAGATGTGTGACCGTTAGGCCACGTGACTGGCTATTCTGACATCATTGTAGACATCAGGGAATTTTGGAAATGGCACCAAGAATCCAACCTCCCTCTGCCAGTTGGAGACACTTTCTTTTGCTTTGTCATTCTCATGTGAATGTGTGAGCAGTGTTTTTACCTGCCCAGCTGTCTCCTCACTACCCTTACACCACTTGCTTCAAGTGTTCCCCCATGTTACCACACTGGCCCCAAGCTTCTGGCCCCTGAGCCTTGGGGGAGGAGGATGCCCGTGTTCTATACTCATGCCAAAGCACAAACCCACTACAAGCACACTTGCTCTGTCCAGGTCCAGTGGTACATTCCTGTCATCCTATACTTGGGAGCCTGAGGCAGGATGATCTTGACTGAGGCTAGCCTGAACTACATGGTGACGCCCTGTCTCAGAAACAAACCAAACCAACAAAAGCTTCCTTCTTGCCTTTTCCCTTTTGAAGGCATTTTTAAGATTTTAAAGACTTACTTTTATTTTGTATGGGCATTTTACAGAGCCCAGAAACTGGGGTCCTCTGGAGGAGGGACCATAGCTCTTAACCACTGATCCATCTCTCCAGTCCCCTCCTTCCCCCTTCTATTTCCTTCTCAGATGGCAATGATCTGCCATAGATTGGCATTTGTGCTCAGCCTTGGAATCCACGGTTTCAGAACCTCCATGACATCTCTGAGGAAGTCAAGCTTAGTGGCCAGAAGTCAGTGTCTCTCTCACTGTAGGCTGTAGGCACACACTCTAACAGAGGCACAGTTAGCTGGGGTTCCTTCCCGCCCCATCCTTGCAAGGATCTTTATCTGAGATAGAATTTCGTTCCTAGGCTGTCCATTCTCTGCCTGCAGGTTTCAGCCCTCCTCATTTGAATTGGTGTTTTGAAGGAGTGAAGCATTAACAAGCTCCAGAGGTCACGGTTTCACAATAAGACCCAACCCAAGTACATTTGAAGACGGCACCCTTCCTCCAAGGTGTATGCGACCACACATCCTTCCCACAGGGCACTGGAGCCCAGGTTTCAAGACCCAACTTCTCTGCTTTTCTACAAACTGTGGGGGTGCTGTGCTTCCCTGTGGGTGGGAGGGGATGGAAGGTGTGTGCCACCACACCAGAGAGAGAAACCATGGCTTTATGGATGCAAGGCAAGAACCACATTCCCAGCCTGTCTTTATTTAACTTAAAATAGCTGAAGCAATTTGTTTAGATATCTAAATACTCCAGCACTATTTATTGAAAAGTTTTTCTGGTCTCTACCAAATTATTTTTGAACCTTTGTCAAACATCTCATTTAACCATACATGGGTTGTTCCCAGGCTGCAAACCTGATTGGCTAGCATTTTATTTTCAAGATCCTCATAGCATCTGACCCTTGCTATCCACTTGTCAAGGATGGAGATAAAAGCTTGCACTTTGTAGTACAAGTGTCTTCCTTACCTTTCTCATTGCTATAACAAAATACCCGACAAAAACAATTTAAGGAAAGGGGTATGGTCCATAGTTTGCGGTTCCAGCATCATGGCAGGGAAGTTGTAGCAGCTGGTCTCATCGCTTCCAAAGTCAGAGCCTTCTTTTTATTTAGTCTAGGACCTCAGCCCATGGGGTGGTGCTGCCTATAGTTGGGGTGGGTCTTCCCACATCCGCTTACCCAGCCTAGAACCCCCCCTCACAGACATGTGCAGAGGCTTGCCTCCTAGGCTATTCTACTCTACTGCCACAGCATGGCAGCATCCCTCAGAGCACTGTGGAGTTTGTGAAGAGATGTTGGAAGATTCATTCTGCAAGAAAGTTGTATTGGGAGAGCTGTGGACCCTGCAATAGTGCTGAGCTGTCCCAACAGCCCTGGGAGCCTCCAGGTGCAAATCTTCCTTGCACAGGAGGCCCCCTCAGAGACACTTCCTTAGCTTGTAACTCCAGGCTGAGTCTACCAGAGCTTCCTTGGTGCTATGCTGCTGACTGTACATCCGGCTACCACAGCAGGTCTGTGGTGAGAATGGAGGGCAGGAGTCAGCAGACATCCCTCACTAGGCTAGCTGTCTTTAGTAATGTGGCCCCAGAGCACCCTGATGAGGCTGGTGTACCACAGTCTTCTACATGTATTGGCCTCACAGTGGCACAGATCTAGCAACTTCCCACCCGATATTCTGTTCCTCCCTCCCCTCTCCCACAGGCTCTGACACAGTGTCCACTGACTCAGCCATGCTGACCTTCCTCCTACAGGATAAGCATGAGGAGACAGCAGTCTGCAGAGCATGACCTGCACCCTCACTCAGAATCACAGCCAGGCCTTGCCAGCAGAGCTCCTGCTGAGAGGGCCTCAGCACACCTACACTGGAGACCACAGGGGTCTCGGGGGGCCAGGCCAGCATCCACCGTGACTTGATCAGCCTGGCCCTGGATGGGACCTGTACCTGGGATCCTGGGCATTGTCAGCTTTCAGGCAACTGACTCACAACTTGGGCCCATTGGGTGATGCGGGTAGGAGGGTTCTCATCTGTGTGTCTTTTCCCAGAGTCTGAGACTCTAGAGCCAAGGGCAGGGGCAAAAAGGACCCCTGGAGGCCAAAGCTGTGGCTCCAGACCTTTCTGTGACCTATGCTTGTGAGACAGCTCTGACCTCCTGTCCTAGTTCCTAGGGGCTGTTCTTTAGACTCCTGGAGAGACCCAAGATGTCTCAGCAATGTGAAGATAAATGGCCACCCCAGCCCCTTGTTATAACACCAGGGCCTTTTTCTTGGTAACAGGGGGCCCACGAGGACAAAGGTCTGACCCTAAATATGGATGGGAATTGCAGATGAACTTAGCACTTCTGGGGGATGGGAAAAGTTGTCTTTGGGGACAGTGGGACTCTAGGATCTTTCTGGGGCTCAGGAGTCCTGCCGAATTCTAGCTTCCATTCTGACACAGCAGGCTGCACTGGGCCCTTTTAATGGTCTCTTTGCTCCCACCCACTGCCATCTGTTCTGGTATCTCACGTATAGAAATGGCCTCCAAGGCTGGGGCGCAAGTGACTAGTGCCCAGGAGTCCTCCAACCGCTCAGCACAGATGGAATTATGGATGCCAACCTTGATCCCTCAGGCCTCACCATGCCCAGCCACAGACACAGGGCCATCCCCTTCTCCATATAAGGCCAAGAGCACATCCAGGTGGGTAAGGAAGGGGCAGGGCTTTGGCTCACCCAATGTGACAGACAGAAATCAAGGGACCTTGTAGGCTAGACAAGTGAAATAGGTGTTTTTCTTGTTGCTGGGGTATAGTACCTGGCAAAAGGTTTGTCTTGGCTCACAGTTTTAGGGCACAGTCCGTGGTGGTAGGGAAGGCATAAGGCAGGAGCATGAGGCAGCTGGTCTCACTGCATCTACAGTTAGGAAGCAGAGAGAGGTGGGTGGTGGTGTTCAGCTCACTCCCTCCATTTGATTCGGTCCCAGAGTATAGCCTAGGGAATGCTGCTACTCAAATTCAGGCAGGTCGTCCCAATTCAGCCTAATCTAGAAAATCCCTCAGGGACACACCCAGAGATTTAGCTGTTTGCTGATTCTACATCCTCTGAGGTTGACAATTGCTAGCAGCCATCACAAGGAAGCCACCCACATTCATACACTGCCACTCATATGGTCACTGATATGTTCACTATCACTCATATGTTCACTGTCACTCATATGGTCATTGTCACTCATGTGGTTGGAAGAGTAGAGCCAGGCTTGGAGAGGCAGGCTCATTACTCTGGCTACTTGGGAGGCTGAGGCAGGAGAATTGTAAGTTCAAAGCCAGCTTGGGCAATTTAGTGAGACCCTGTCTCAAGAAGAAGAAGGAGGAGGAGGAAAAGGAGGAGGAGGAAGAAAAAGAAGAAGGAGGAGGAGGAGGAGGAGAAGGAGAAGGAGGAGGAGGAGGAGAAGGAGAAGAAGAAGAAGAAGAAGAAGAAGAAGAAGAAGAAGAAGAAGAAGAAGAAGAAGAAGAAGAAGAAGAAGAAGAAGAAGGACATTTAAAGACAGGGTTTCTCTGGGTAGCCTCCGCTGTCCTGGAACTCATTCTGTGGATCAGGCTGGCTGTGAACTCACAGAGATCCTCCAGCCTCCCAAGTGCTGGGATTATAAAGGCGTGTACCACCACCACCCAGCTCAAGAAGAAAATTGAAAAGAGGGCTATAGTTGTGACTCCAGTGATGAAATGCTTACCTAGCTTGTGTGAGGTCTTGGGTCCAATCCCCCCTACACACACACATTCACACACATACTCTCACACACACACACACACACTACACACTCACACTTACACACATATACACTCACACCCACTCACATACACACATACACACACTCTCACACATCCAAACACATACTCATACACACTCAACACACATACACACACACACTCACATACTCACACACATGCATACACACTCATACACATACACACTCACACACTCATATACACTCATACACATACACACTCACACACACTCTCACTCACACACTCTTACACACTCACATACACACATACACACACAAACATGGAGTCACCTTTGTGCCTGTTATGGACTGGCCAAACCATCACAGAGTGCATGTAGATTTCTGTGCCTGTTTCCTCATCTGCAAGGTGAGCTGTTGACAGTCACTGAACCTTCTATAACAGTGCCTAGTGTCAGAATGCATAGATGCTTTCTTTGGGGTCAGATTGGGGAAGAAATACCCACTTCCCACCAGCTGCCTCCACAGGTCTCCTGCAGTGGGGACACCTTACCTCCTCAGCTGTTGGGTGTGTGCCACAGGAACACTGAAGAGTGGCCTCTCCAGGTACCGGGGCTCTGGCTGGGTAGGGAGTCCTTCTAGGGGCTAACACTGCATAACACTGGGGACTTCTGGCAGTGTAGGCAAGGGCTGAAGCCCTGGCTGAACTGACCTTTGTGGTCCTTGCCCCCAGTCCCCCTTTACTCTTTGACATGCACTGGTCTCCAGCTCCACAGGGCCTTGGTTCCTCTTGGTGGTCCATGAACTATCCCTTTGCAATTTGACATCAGCCCAGAACCTAAGAGCTTCTTACCAGCCTCTGCCATGGCAGCCAGGGTAGTGAGCACTCTAATTATCATGTGTCAGGTAGACTCCAGGGCTCTGCTATTTCTGAGCTACCCCTGGCTGGGTACAGATGAGGAATTGATTTCTTACAGACCAATGTGCTGAGTTTAGAATGGTGTCTGCCCTGTCCCAGCTCCAGGACCCATGCTGAGGATGAACTGCACACAGGGCCCATAGTTAGGACTGCCTTCCAACCTTGTGAGAGCTCTCCAGGGAAACTGGTTACAGGCCTGCCCAGGCTTCAGTGGCTGTACAGGCTTGTCCCACTGGATGTGGCTCTGAGGGACACATGAGGGGTGGGAAACAGAGCTACCTCTGTCTTTGCATAGCCATTTTACCTGACCATAAGGTTCCCTGAAGGAGGTTGCAGAGGCCTGGAGGGCAGCCCAGGATGGGGACATTCCAGCAGAGCAGGTCACACCTTGGGGCCTCAGAAGCTGGGGTGGCACTTTGGGGACAGGTACATGGTAGTACCCAGTGGGGATGGGCCTCCAGGGGCACTCTGCTGTGAGTGACACCACTCTATCCAAGCTCATCATGCACCCACGGCTAAACATTTTCTGAGACTGAGTTTTTAGAAGCGTGAATGTGAGGCTCCCTCTGGCTGTTGTCCTTGGGTCCCTCCCTGGAAACTCTCTGCACCCTACTTCACTGATGGGAACCTGTATGACTTCAGGCCTGCTCTTTTCATGCCTTGGTCCTGAAATCCTAGGAGCTCTGGGGGTGTGGCCAGCTTGGGATGGTCTGTCCTTACCATGTCCTCAAAGGTCTCTGTGGTTTATGATGGTGTCACCAGCTTTGAGCACTCCACATATATCTCAACAGGCCCTATATCCATCAACTGCTCTGTAGACTACTGGGCCCATGATGGCCATCTGGAGCTATGGGGCCATAGCCAATATGACAGTGAGATCCTATTGCAAATCAGGCTCCTGGCTGGGCTTCTGGATGAGGACAACCTGCATGCTGAACTACAGATACAGGGTGAGCTTAGATTCAGAGGGCAGCATCCCTGGGCCCAGATCTCGTCTCAGCCTTGACTCAGGCAGGCCTAGGGGGCTCTGGGCTCTAGGACTGACCAAGATAACCTGATCCTTTGCAGGCTTCCCTTTAGAGGTTTCTAGCAGTGGGCTAGAAGCTGCAGTTTTACTCTGAATTCTAAAAAGGCATCTAAGATCACAATACAGGTGGTCTGGTCTCCCTCCAGCAGTCCCAAGGGACTTCTGCTGGCAGGATGTGCCCTACCTACACAGATCATTCCAGCCCGTCCTCTGTCTGCAAGGGACCACCTCCCTTCTGTGTTTATCTGTTCTCCTACAAGGACACCAGGATTGGTTTGGGATCCCAAAACCTCCATTGTCCCCTTGTTTTCTTTGGTCACACCTGTAAAGTCCATTTTCTAAGGTCATACTCACAGGTATGAGAGGTAAGATTGTAGAGTGGAGACACAGTCCAACCCATAATTAGAAGGGGAATGTAGGAGCCAGCAGTGACCCCACTTACTGCCATGTGTGAGTGCCCCGACTGGACTACACAGCTCTCTCATTCGCTGGAAGTCAGCTCTGGAAGAGCCACTGTGAGAGTGATAGGAGCAGCTTAAAAGAGGAAGACTGCCCGTGGCTTACACTTCATTGTCATGGGAAAGTAAAGCAGCAGTCTCGCGCATGAGTCCCAAACCCAGTCTGGAAGCAGAATGAGACGTGTCACTTTCTCCTTTTATTTGGTCTGGGGGTGGGGTGGACCCCAGCCCGTGGGATTCTGCTACCTGCATTCTGGATGGATCTTCCCACCTCAGTTACCAGTTCCACAAAGTTCCTCAGGGCCATGTGCAGAGACTGAGCTCTTTGGTAATGCTAGATCCTGTCAAATTCACAGCCAGTATTAACCATCAGAGCCTCAGAGCACTGCCCCCTCCTCCCTTCATGCTTTTCTTCTGGCTCCTTCCATTCCTTCTGCAGCTCAGAGAGGTGGAATCACTGGCCACACAGCCGGCTCATAATGAAGCCAGGCCTTGAACTCAGCCAGTCTGATTCCAGAGTCTGACTTTACATTCTGCCTTCCTCTGTCCTCCAGATAGATGCAGGCCCTGGCTCTGGACTACAGACCCTGGATCTAGCATCTAGATCATTTTTCTCTGACCTGAAATGTTTCCATCTTTGGCATAATGGGGGATTTGCTCTCATGGGGCCTGAGATCACTCATGAGAAGACATTGGGCTTGCTGGGGATTATACTAGATCCTAGACCCAGAGAGCCGCCCCCTTCCCTCATAGCTCTCTATGCCTAGCTGATCCAGCCCACAATGACACTTCCTGTTCAGTGTTAGCTGTCATGGCAGCCAGGAGCCCCCAAGCATAAGATCCGCATCCCCTCTCCTTACTGTAAGCATAGCGGATGAGTGTGATTGACTATGGGATGATGCAAGAAAAACATGAGTGTTTCCTAACCCCAGTGCACTCCTGCCTCCAGCTCCTCTGGGTGTGATGTCACCTGGGTGCTGCCTTGAGGTGGGTGGGCTGCAACCATTTTACAGATGAAGAAATCAAGGCTTGGGCTTCGAGGCACTGGCCATCCCCTCTGGGCTCAGACCTAAGCTGTGATTCTCTCCTAGCATGACCTCAACTTCTGACACACAGTAGGGAATCGTTTACCTCATTTCCATAAATAGCTGAGGACAGGTGGGGGTTCGAACAGATCCATGCTGTTAGCTGCGGATGCTGGGACACCGGGGGCTGTGAAAATGTGGGTCACACATGAGGTTTGAGTGACTTGCTCAAGTTCATGTGGCAAGCAGGCAGGGGAGTGGGGACTCAACCCTGTGTTTCTGTGGCCCCCACTGCATGGGGCTGCACCCTGGCAATGTTTCTTCCTGCCTCTGTGCCTTGTCCCAGTGTCAACACTCACCTCCAGCCATTGCTATCTGTTCCACAACTCTGCTGAGAAGGGTGAGGCAGCTCCTGGTGCCCCACAACTGAGAATACCAGACTCTCCTTTCCCCAGTCCGTCTGGTTCTGTGCCCTGCCCATACGTCCTGTGTCCAGGGGGAGCCAGGAGCCAGGGCCTGCAAGCTTGCTCTGGGGCTGAGAGTCACATAGCAATCTCTACTGATATCTAGGGCCCTCAGCACCCCAACAGTATATGTCTTTTCTCTCTCCCTTCCCTACCTCAGTTACTATTCCGAGAACTCTGGACCAAGATATTCTATTCTTCCATGTCCATGGCCAGAACCATGCCAACAGGTAAGAAGGTAAGAACTCTTGATGGCTCTGGGGCTGCCTAGGAGGAGGGGAACTGGCATCTGGATACTGCTGGGCCTCAATGAGACATGATGGATCCCCAAACCATCACAATCCACTGAGATAACAGAACGGGGAAGCTCAGAGAGGCAGAGTGGCTTTACCAAGTTCTTAAAAATTCCCTAGCCTCTGGAGCAGCATGCATGAGTACACACATGCTCACACACACGCACACACACGCACACACACACACACACACACACACACACACACACTTTCTCTATCCCCAGCCAGCCACTGGTCATAGTGGAACTGGCTTGGGGCTTGGGACGCTTTCCTGTTAAGGGGAGTGTGGGTTACCAGCTCCCCTTCTTGAACTCAGTCCCCACTTGTTAAAGGTATACCCTATGGGGAAATTTCTGGTTGCTAAGCTAGGAGAGGAAAGCTGCTGAACACCCTTGGGTACACAGAACAGCCTCAACTGCAGAGGCCATGGCCCCGCATATAAGTGACGGGTGGAAAGGCTAGTGGAGGGCTCCTGGGAGGAGGTTGGGGGCCCAAGCAAGTCCCGCTGCCCACACCCCACAGGGCTCCTGCTATGCCTTGGAAGACACATAGTCCAGAGCCAGTTCTAGTCCTTTATAGGGAAACTGAGGTAAAGGGCGTAGAACAAGAAACTAGTTCCTGGTGCCAGAGCTTGGTGGACCCTGCGCTGAGACCCATGACCCAGTGCCCTGGTGACTGTGACCACACTGCTCACATTTGGGGCCTCTAACCCTCTCACCCAGGGTAGTGCTGAACTAGATGCTCCCATGCCAGCTCTCTCCTTGCTTCCAGCAAAGAGCTGCTGCTGTGGGGTGGGCACCACCTCCCCTCCCTCCTGGACTGCTGTCCCCGCTCAGTGTCTGCTACAGCCACTGCCAGAGGCAGATCTGTACAGCCTGGGCTGTTGGGTGTGTGTACACCCTTGTCTGTCAGAGGCCCTCAGTGGGCCACCCCCAAAACTCAGGCTTTGACTTTCCCAAATATCCAATGTTTACATTCCAGAGTGGCCCAGGGGACCCTCTGGAGCTGGGAGGTCTCCCCATCTTGGCGCCTGATGCCTGACACTCCCCGAACCTGGTGTGCCCCACCAGCTGCAGCAGATGCCCTGGCCCTTGAGCAGAGCCAACTCCACCACCCCACCCTGTATGCATTACAAGGAGGCCTGGGTAGATAGGATGGCTTGTTAGACCGTAGCTACAGGCTGCCTCTGCATTGTCACTGTTCGTGTCCTTGTCTGTCTCTGAGGCCCCAAATAAGGAGGTCCTACAGGGAACACTGACTCTTGGCACAGGGTCCAGTATAGATCAGCTACTTGGTAAGGAGTGAACGATTAGGCCAGCCACCTAGCCAGTACCTCCCCCTTCCCCCCCCCCATCCCTCTCCTTCCCTCCTACTGTCCTTGTTGCCTTCCCCTTTGACTTGCCTATAACTTCCTGGCCTTGTGCATGCTAGCCAAGCTCTTTACCATTGAGCTACACTCTTCCCACCCCAATCCCTGGCCACTTCATTTTCCTATCAGCCACAGGCTTCATCCAAAGCCTGCCTTTGTTTTTAGAGAACACACTGTATGCACGCCTTCCCTGAGTGGATGTTTTCTAAGCATTACAGTTAAGGGAGAACCTCAGTTTCTTACTCAAGCTTTTTTAGACTAGTGTCAGCCATAAGCAGGTTACTGTTGGACACTCACAAGTGGCTTAGTGGGTAGCACAAAGCGCCGGGCTCTAGCCCCAGCACTCCATGATCCAGGCATGGTGGCACACCTGTAACCCCCACACTAGGGAGGTAGAAGTGAGAGGAGCAGAAGGTCAAGTTCAATGTCAGCAACATAGCTCATTATGTGCTAGCCTGGGCTATATGAGACCTGTCTCAATCAACAACAAAGAAGTCACCATGAGACAGAGCAGACTACACATTTTCAGTGTAATTGAGTTAATGAGGCTATATCTTTACTCCTAAAGACCTCACGTGTTTTGTAGAACTAGAATTTTTATAAAACACAATATAATTACAAAAATCAGGATGTTTAGTTCCTTAGAGACCTGGTCTCATGTAGCTGAGTGCTGTTTTGATTTGAGATATTCAGATGAATATAGGTGTACAACACCACACCTAAATTATGCAGTGCTGGGGATGGGAACCAGGTGTTTCAGTTAGGGTCCCGTTGCTGTGAAGAGACAGCATGACCACAGCAACTCTTATAAAGGAGAACATTTAATTGGGTCTTGCTAATAGGTTCAGAGGTCTAGTTCATTATCATCTACCAACTGAGCTACAGCCCTAGCCCCATTTTTAAAATTTTGAGGCAGTCTGTTTATGTAGCCAAGCCTGGTCTTGAACTCACTGTCTTCATTAGGATTTCTATTGCTTTGAAAAAACACCATAACCATAGTAATTCTTACAAAGGAAAACATTTAATTAGGGACTGACTTAGAGTTTGGATGTTTAGTTCATTGTTATAATGGTGGGAAACATGGTGGCATGCAGGCAGACATGGTGCTGGGAGTTCTACATCTGGATCTGAAGGCAGCAGGAAGAGAGTGTCACTGGGCCTGGCTTGAGCATCTGAAACCCAAAGCCCACACACTTCCTCCAATGACAGCGCCAGTCCCAGTGAGCCTATTGACTCATTTAAACCACCACATTCCACTCCCTGGCCCCCACAGATTGGTAGTAATATTATAATGCAAAACATCCCCATAGTTTTTATAATTCAAAAGTCCCCATAGTCTATCACAGTCTCAACAATGTTTAAAAGTCCAAAGTCTCTTCTGAGATTCATGCAACCTCAACAGTAATCCCCTATAAAATCAAAATGAAAAGCAGCTCACATCCTCCCAACATTCAATGGCGCAGGATATACATTACCATTCCAAAAGGAAGGAAAGGGAGCATAAGGAGGAGATGCTGGACCAAAGCAAGTCTGAAAACAGCTGGGCAAACTCCAACTCAGCATCTTCATGTCTGATGTGAAAACGCTCTTCAGATCTCGCACTCCTTTCAGCTTGGTTGACTGCAACACACTCCTCTTTCTCTTGGGCTGGTTCCCCTCCTATTAGCAGCTGTCTTTGGCAAGAAACCCAACTCCATCATCTCCAGCATCCTGGGGTCTCCAACACAATTTGGGCTTCACAGCTTCACACAATAGCTCTCTAGGCCTCCATGCAGGGACACATGCCTGGCCTCAGCAGCTTTTCTTAGCTATAGTAGAAGATTCCATAACCCTTTTTTGTATCCTTAATTCTAAGGCCAGAACCACATGGCCGAAGCTGCCAAATTCTGCTTCTTGCTGGGGCTGGGACACGGCCCCTTGTTCAAACACATCTTCACCAGCTTTCTGTTTTTGATAATTTCCTTCATTGCCAAAGCTCAGCTGTTATGGAACTGGCCTTGGACTCAGAGATCTGCAAGCCTCTGCCTTCTCATTTCAGAGCTCTAGTCCATTGTGGTGGTATGCAGGCAGATATGATGCTGGAAAAGGAGCTATATCCAGATCTGACAGCAGGAAGAGAGTGACATTGGGCCTGGCTTGAGCATTTGAACCTCAAAGCCACCCCCACAGTGACAACTTCCTCCAACAAGGCCACATCTTCTCATAGTGCCACTCCCTATGAGCCTATAGGGTCGTTTTCATTCAAACCATCACACTCACTATGTAGTCCATACTGACCTTGAACTCACCACCACTCTCTCCCTACTCTCCCTAACTCAGATTTCCCATGTCACCAGGCCTGGTACAAACTTGAATGCTGAAATAACACTTGGATAATAAAATTTCCAACTGTTTAGTAAGGTATTTTAAGTATTTAGTCTTGGGTTTAAACCCATGACAGGACCCAGAGCTGCACAGGATGCATTGTACTGTGGCACTTTTGTTATCCTTGAACAGAAGTCTGAAAACTGGGCTGAAAAAGCCAGAAAGCAAATGCAGGGGTGTGTGGTTAAACCACAAGCCACCTTGTCCCTGGTGTAGCCACTGGGTCCTGTCACTGTAGGACAATAGCTATTGTGGTCTATGTGTAAATATTCAAACAAGACTGATAACAATCAAATGGGGGGTGAAAAGCACCTGATTTTGGATTCTTAGTACCCACATAAAAAGCCAGGCACAGTCAGGTGTGGTAGTGTATTCTTTTAATCTCAGTACTCAGGAGGCCGGGGCAGGAGCATCTCTGTGAGTTCAAGGCCAGCCTGGTCTACATAGAGAGTCCCAGACTAGCCAGGGCTACACAGTGAGACTTGTCTCAGATGAATGGATAGATGGATGGATAGATAGTTAGGTAGATAGACAGACAGAGATAAAAGCACACACCTATAATCCAAGGGTGTGCGTGTTGGGAGGGGAAGCAGACAATCCCTGGATCTCACTGGACAGCTAGTTGGGTCAATCAACAAGCTCCATGTTTGGTGAAAGACCTTGTCTCAAAAAACAAGGTGAAAAATGAGTGAGGAAAACATTTGACATTAGTCACTACACACATGCACACTCATGCACATATACCCTCTCATCCCCCAAAGTAAAATTTTCTTTTCAAAGTCAGGTTGTAGGCCAAATCAATCTGAAGGCCAACTCAAGATCTGGAATCTTCTACTTCTGTTTGTAACCTTACTTTTTTATTATTGTTTTAAATTTTTATGTGTATGTGTATATCTGTATATCTATCTGCAGAGCTGGAGTAACAGGCTAAAAGCTACTCTACAGGGAACTGAACCTGGGTCCTATGGAAGAGCAGTATGCATTCTTTGCTGCTGAGCCATCTCTCCAGCCCCCAACATATTCCTATGAAATTTTTCAAATACAAAACTGAGTTAAATTTTCATCACCCTCCTCTATGCCCACTGCCTAGATTTTCCCTTTCATTTTTCATCACTAAATTTCTTTAAAAATCCTCACATTGCTACCCTGACATGTCCATGCAGTCAGTCACAGAACATCCTTCTTTGTGTCTTTGGATTGTTTGTACCAGGTGAGGCTTAGCTTGAACATGCCAACCTGCCTCTCCGCTTATTGAAAAGGGCCATTCTGGTTCTTATTGTCTCTTATTATTTGTGTGTGTTGTGGGTGTTTTGCTTGCAACATATGATGTATATCTGGACATCATATAATGTTTGGTGCCTTCAGAAGCCAGAAAAGGCCATGGGTTCTCAGGGACCAGAGTTACTGACAGATATGAGGTGCTAAGAGTGCTTGGAAGTCAAACCCAAGTCCCTGAAAGTATAGCCAGTGCTCTTCACCCAGTAATAACAGCTAGACTTGGAGGGGAATGAGGAAAATATTGACCCCAAAATATGAACACCAATTCTTGTCCCTTTCCCCCAAACCTTTATAGGGCTCTTCCCTGGGAGGCTAGATACACTAAGTGACAGAATCACTCTACCAGCCCAGAAGATAGCACATCATTTCATACAATTTTCATGCTATTCCATAAAAAAAAAAAGCAAGTATCCTTATCCTTATCCATAATAATCTTAAGCCAAGGATCTAACTGTCACTAAGTCAACGCATAACTAGGAGAGTCAGCCTGGAGCCTGTCTAACCACTCTGAGCATTGTCCTTATGCAACACTGCCCTCTGTGGTCCCAAGCGATACCACAACTAGATCCTTGTTAGCTGTTGTTGAAGCCCAGGGCCTGTCTAAACTCAGGAGCCTTTATCAGTCTGCTCATCTCAGGAAGCTGTAGGTCCCTTTAATGGGGCTCTGGGAGCGGTCTGGAGCCAAGCACCATCTGGCTGAAATCTGAAGGCTACACTTCTTGCTACACTTTTCCAAGGATGAGACCCAAAGCACCTTTGTCCTAGAGATGGAAGAATCCCATTTCCATGTCAGTACCAGCTTACTGACTGCTAAGGATGGTCTAGCCAGTGTCATCCTGCTGCAAAAGACCCCCCTCCCAGGTGCACAGGTCCTTAGAAAAGAGCTGTGCTTCTCTGCAGGGGGCAAATTGGCTGGAAGGGACCTCAGCTATGTCTCTTCATTCCTTATCGATCATCTTCTAATCCTAGGCATTGTTCCAGAAAGAAGGTGGGATACAGCACAGGACAGAACTAATGGACCCTGACTGTCATTGAATATGTGATCTAGTTGAGGCAGGTGACAAAAGCCACATAAAGAAATCATATGTGATGATGGGGTCAGGAGGTATCACCTGAGGAGGGGACACTTGAGCTAAACCTAAGCTTGTCTGGGGAAAGAGTATCCTATACTAAGTACCTGGAGTGGGGATGACTCTGAGAACTGGCCAGAAGCCCCTGGCTGGGACAGGCTAGATGGGGATGGCAGGAGGAAGTGCAGCCTGCAGATGCGGACCTGTCAGCCCATACAGGCTAGAGTCTCTGCTACCCCACCCTCTCCCTCTCTGCTGCCTGCTCACATTTAAGATGTATTTAGCATGTGGTTCTGACCACATGCAGCTTCTTTTCCTTTCTGGACCTGACTGCCCCAGGCTGGTGTGTGGCTGGGCTCTAAGAGGCCATGGACTGGTTATCCCTTTCTCTTCCAGCTCAGCACCTTTCCCACAGGGCTGGCCCTGAGGACTGTCTTCCAGAGAACACAAGGCACCCACATCCTGTTCCAGGTGATGCAGTGGGAAGGTAGGGGGTGGCACTCAATGGGAGTCTCTCTAGGGCCCTCTCAGAGCTCCTGGGGAATGTCCATCTTCAGGGTAAGGGGCTGAGGAGCAGGAGGCATGGGGTTAGGCATGCTCTCACTTGCCATGGGTGAGTGCCTGCTGTCCTTGGTGCTATTCTAGACTCTATATTCTAGACTCTAGAGAATCCCCAGGGAACAAGATAGTCAAGGCTTAGCCCTCAGAGGGAAAAGGCAGAGAACTAGAAACCCCCATGTCAGCAAAGTCACAGAGAAGGTGGGGCTGAAGCCGGGGTTGGTAGAGTGCATCTGATCCCCAGCACCTTAAAAACAGTGTGTATGTGTGTGTGGGGGGGGCATGACTGAAATCTCAACTCCTAGGAAGTAAAGGCCAGAAGGTCAGGAGTTCAGGGTCATTCTCAGCTACATAAAACCTTGTCTCAAGTAAACCAAATTAACAACTAAAGCAAATTAGGGCCAATGAGCGGCATGGTGGGTAAAGCACTTGTCATTAACCCTGACAGCCTGAGCTGTCACATGCTGAGGGAGACAATCTCTCACACACATGCAGTAAAGTACATATGTTCATGTGCACATACAAATTAATAGTAATAATAATAATAATAATAATAATAATAATAATAATAAACCTTTCCTGTATGAAACCCAGTGGCCTAAAATGGTTCAAGGAGCAGCAGGGAGGCCCCTGGAAGGCTCATGGTTTCAAGGTCAGCAACCACTAAGGGGAGGGGCTTTGGATCTCCCCAATCTCTACTGATCTTAGTACCCTCTGGCTGTCACCGGAAGCCTGATTTGAAGCCATCAACAACCAGCTAGGGTGTGCTCCACAGTGACTACTTGGGGGTCAGGAGAGGAAGTGGCCACAGACCTCTGAAGGCCAAGGCTTGGATGTGGTGCTCTGTTGGCCTCAAGGAACAGTGGCATGGCCTGGAGGCCCAGGCAGGGCTCAGAGGAGACTCTGGGTTGGTGCAGGTTGGCTGCCCAGTGTGATTGGGATAGGAGGAAAAGAGAACAGAGTTGCTTTAAGTGACATTGTGACCAAATGTGTGGCTTCCAGGTTCTATAGGGTAGGTGAGAATGTGGCCACCTGCTTGAATGGCTTTGTTATCAGCTGAGTCCTGAACCAGGCTCATGCCATGACCTTAACACACAGCTATGACCTCACTGCTACCCTCTACTCATCTCCCCCACAGTGGAGCTCTCCCAACAACTGCCTCTGTCCCTGCCGCGCCTCTGCAGCCTCCACCTCTCCTCCGAGTACTCTAGAGGCAGCCACCATGGTGACCTGGCTGTGGCCTGGGACAATAAAGACAAGCTAGGCAGCAGGACTGGCAGGAGACCCTGGGGGTCTGAGGGCACCTTGCTCGGGTGCCTGATGGGAGTCAGTCAGATGCAGAGTGTCCATAAGTGGAGCCAGAGGACCTGGCTTCCAGTCCCTGATGACAAGCACAGCTGATGTGCACATCCATTCTTCCTCCAAACCCTGTTTTCAGAACCCAGAGGCTGAAGCACAGAGAGACAGCTGCTGTCACTCCTGGGGTCACTGCCAGTGCGCCACTGTCTGTCTTTAGCCACTCCCCCAGGATGCAGCTGTTGTACAAGGTCTCCCTGAGCCTCAGGCTTGGGCCCATAGGTGGGGGAGGTGGGAGGCCCTGTTTAGCAGGGAGCACTCTGCAGAACCACAGATGCCTGGCTGGGGACCTGGAGGGCCCTCTACTCAATTGCTCTTTCAGCCACGCCTACTGTGTGCCAGCGTTGGAGCCCTAGGCCCACTTTCTGCATCTGCAGACTCTGGATTTGTTTTTTTCCTTTCCCTCTTCCTTCCTTCCTTCCTTCCTTCCTTCCTTCCTTCCTTCCTTCCTTTTTCCTTTCCTTTCTTTTTTTTTTTCTTTTGGTTTTTCAAGACTGGGTTTCTCTATGTGATAGCCTTGATGGCCTGGAACTCGCTCTGTATTCCAGGCTGACCTCAAACCCACAGAGGTCCACCTGCCTGTCCCTCCCAAGTGCTGGGATTAAAGGCATATGCTACCACACTAGACTCTGGAATTTAATGAAGAAGATGGTTCTCAAGAGGCTCTGAGATCATTTGTATGATAATTTGCATACCTAAGGTACCCCAGGGAGGGCTGAGTGGGGTGGCTGGAGTGGTATCCTTGAACTTGTATGGTGTCCCTGAGCCTCCTCTTATCACCAGTGAGCAGCAGTATATTAGGCCAGCAGAATGCAAGCAGGTGAGTGGGATTTTTTTTATACTCAGTTGTGAAAAGCATCATGGAGCAAGTATCCCGGGAGCGATACCTTCCTGGGAGACAAGGCCATCACCCAAGGCCCTCAGGGACTTGAGCCATAGGACATTGAGCACAAAGGCCCTGAGGCCAGAGCTAAGAGGAGCTTCCAAAGGAAGAGGCTGGATGATGGTAGGGCAGGACACAGGGCCCAGAAGAGGCTGTCTGTCATCAACGGAGGGGCTTTTCCCAGTTTCCCAGTAGGGGGCTCTGGACTCCTACAAGGAGTGCAGAAGCCCCTGTAATCCCCACTTCCTCTCCAGGGAAGATGAGGGCAGCCACAATCTAGCCAGCATCTCCCCCTTAGAGGCGGTGACAGCCTTACCTCTGTTCCTCCCTCGTGCAGGTTCAGCAATCAAGAGACAGAGGCTCGCCTATGATTCTGGAGGTCACCTGGCTGAGAGGTCCTCTACCAACTGTGTGGCCTGGGAGAGCTGCCCAGCTGCCTCGCTAGGTCAGGTACGTGCTGGCTCTCTGGTGGGCTCTTGCCTAGGGTCCTCATTCTGGGCCTCCCAGCAGGCCTCTGGCTCATCTTTCTGTTGTTGTCAGCTCCAGAGAACCTGGGGCCTGGGCCTGCTGCAGGCCTGTGGGACCCGACTCAGATCTCGGTCATGTTCAGTGAGCAGCTTGATCTCTCCTGGTGCCGACACTAGCTGCAGCAGAACGTGACATATGAGGTGAGGCATAGACAGCCAGACTCAGGTCAGGTCATCTACAGGCTGCCTTGCCAGCTATGGGAGTATAGTTATGGCAGTGTCATTCTGAGTTCAAGTGCTGACTATACCGGGGATCTAGGACACTCATTCTTCGGGCTGAGCCTTGCTTCATCTGAAATGGGTGCGATAGTCAAGACCTACCAGAAAGTAGATCAGACACTAGATTAGTCATAGACAGTGCTGGTAGTGCTAGAGCTCTGCTAGACATGGGGTAGTAGGCAGCAGAGGGCTCGCCTTCCCAGAAGGGTAGGGCTCAGTATCTCCCAACCAAGGAGGGCTTCCAGTGGGGCTAAGTGCAGCTCTTCCGAGTGTGAAACAAAAGCCAGACTGAACTGAAATGGCGAAAGCTGGCTGAGAGTGTACCCCCCAGTCCTTCTGTACCCTGCCAGGCTTCTGAGACCTGGGGTCCTGAGGCTGGGGTCACTGGGACCTGGTCTCTGTGTGGGTGACAGTCACCCCTGTGGTGCTGTGGACATTTTCTCCTATGTGCTAAACCCCATGTCATGAGCTATTCCAGAATCGTCAGCTGCCCCAGTGGAACAAGGTCCATGCAGAGGCCACTCTAGAGCACATCCTCTGTGCCATGTACAGCTTCCAGACTATAATGGAAACTGACTATATGCACCAGTTACATCACGCCCTCCACCAGGGGCTTTGCAACTTGCCCAGGTTGAGTCTGCTGAGAAGGATGGGGTACAGGGGAGCCAGAGGCCCTCAGGAGGGGGAACACCTGGGACGGGAAGGGTATGTCCAAACCAGTCAGAGCTATGATGGGCTCTTCACACACCAGCTGCAGGGCACCTGTTTTCTCTGTCTAGTTTATGAGAGAGAAGGAAGGCATATATAGGGAGATTGTGCTATTCATGAGGGTGTGTAAATGAGAGCTGTCACCACTACCTCTTACTCTTTCCTGTCCTTTACCCTCCTATCCACACACATACTTACCTGCCTTCCCACACCACCCTCCTGCTATCTACCTACCACCCACCCTCCCATCTGTCTGTCTGTCTGTCTGTCCACCACCCTCCCATCTATCTAGCCATCTACCAATCTCCTCTCCACCCATCTACTCACCTCCTTGTCCCCTACCTCCCTGGGCATGCCTCATTCACACATGGGCACCAGTGCAGGCATGCTTCTCTCACACATGGGCAGATATGTTTCAGTGTTTAAGGGGCTTTGCTGGAGAAGGCTGTGGGTGGGGCAGTAAGACCTGCCACCCACAGCCTGCTTATAGCAATCCAGGTGGAAGGGATCATACCAGGGTCCGGTGGGGAGGGTCCTTCAAGCCTTCTCATTCTCTGGGGAGCACAGTCTAGACCAGGATGCACTCCTGCTGCATTCTCAATATCAGTTGGGTCTTGCTCCAGACCCTGACCAGGGCCTACATTTTAGCCTCACCCTCTATAGCCACCACCAACCTAATGCACCCAATTCTCTGGGTAGCTGAAGGTAGACTTCTAATCCCTCCCAGTTTTCTATGCTAGCATCCCCACTGCATAGGCTGCCCCGCCATCTAGTGGCCATCAATGGACCTTCAGGCCTACATCCTGCTGGTCCAGTATTTCCTTTCTGAGGAGTATTAACTGAACCCCAGGGTCTGTCCAGGCCCACAGAGTGGTTCCCCCATTACTCCACAGCCCTTGCCTTTCTATAACAAGGACACAGAGTCTATTCTTCTAAAATGGAACAAGGATGATGTATCAGTGAGGATTCTCTAGAGGAACAGAACTGATGGAATGTGAATAAAGGGGACTTATTAGAGTGGCTCACAGCCTGTGGTCCAGTTAGCCCAACGATGGCTGTTTACAAATGGAAGGTCCAAGAACCCAGTAGTAGCTCAGTCCATGTGGTTAGAAGTCTCAGCAAACACCAAGAAGTAGGCTCTAATACCAGTGGAGGATTAGACTTGCCAGCAGGCGGACACAGAGAGGCACTTCCTTCTTCAGTGTCCTTACACAGGCTGCCAACAGAAGACTTGGCCCAGAGAAAAGGTGGCTCTTCCCCCTCAAAAGATCTGCATTAAAAAGAGATCTAAGGAAAGAATCCCTGAGCCCAGCAACAGCAGTGCACACCTTTAATCCCAGCACTGTGGAGGTAGAGGCAGGGGATCTCTGTGAGATCAAGGCCAGCCTGGTCCACAGAGGACTTCAGGGACATCCAGAGCTACACAGGGAAACACTGTCTCAGAGAAAGACAGAGAGAGGGAGGGAGGGAGGGAGGGAGGGAGGGAGGAAAGAAGGGAGGGAGGGAGGGAGAAAGAGGGAGGGAGAGGGGGGAGAGAGAAACACAGAGAGAGAGAGGGAGGGAGGGAGGGAGAAGGAGGAAGGAAGAGGGGGAGAGAGAAACACACACACACACACACACACACACACACACAGAGAGAGAGAGAGAGAGAGAGAGAGAGAGAGAGAGAGAGAGAGAGAGAGACATCCTCACAGGTGTGCCCAGACACTTGGGTTTTAGTCAATTCCAGGCATAGTCAAGTTGACAACCAAGAATAGCCATCAGGATGCATTTCTAGATGAGGTCATGCGCAAAGCTCATGGGCCTGCCACTTCCTAACTTACAGCCAGGCCTGCTCTGCCCCAGCTACAAACTTGTGCTTGATGCCACTGCTAGAATCAGAGGGCAAGCACTTGTCAGACACCCAAGGTGCATGGTCCCCACCCTTCACCCTCCTTACCCCACTCTGGAGTCTGAGAGATGCACAACCTTGGTTGTGCTCAGCCCCCGGTGCGTACCTCCATCAGCACTGCAGCGGTTTGCATTCATGGTCTATTTAACCTGCGGTGGCCTCATTTTTCCTTGACTACCTCTGCAAAGACATCAGACTGATGAATGCAGCCCAACCCATACGACTCAAGGAGCTTTTGACTTCTGCTGAGCTTTGAGCTGTGGCTCAGAGAAGGTGATACCCTTACTTAAGGTTGCACAGCTTTCAAGTTGCAGGCTCTAGCCTAGAATATAGGGCAGCTAAGCTGGGGCAGACGTGCCTCCCTTCTCCAAGTTTCTCTACCAGACTCTTAGTAATTTTCAATGGCCCCTTTCCCTGGGACACTAAAGCCATTGACATTGTTCCAGTTCAGTTGACAAACATTTGTCCTGTGCCTCCTCCCTCAAGGATTCGGGGAAACACAATGACCCAGGCTCCATGCCACATATTACCCACATGTGTCCTTGGACACTGGGACTGCCAAAGGAGAAGTCCCTGTAATCCCCAGACCAATAGTATCTATCTACAGAGTGTGCAAGGCTGTGGGTTCTGAGCCTCCTTGACTGGGTTGGTGGGGAGACACCTACATATGCTTTACTGTATGTGGTAGGACCTCGAGGACTCTGAGCTGTGTGGCCGGGTGGGAGGGTGGGGAACCCAGTGCTCCTGGAATAATGGTGTGGGTGTTTTTCTATCCCTTCTCTACTGATTCACTCTTAGCTCTTCCCTAAGCCTGGGACAGGGACAGGCCAGAGACCAGAGCAGCCCCAGCAGCCAGACCCACCCAAGTCTCTATTGTCTGGTTCATAGCTCCAAGGTCTCAAGGGCAGCAGCTCCTCCTGTTGGGCAGCATCACTACCTCGGCTTCTCAAAGCCTGGTCCAGCTGGAGAGAAGCATTGATAAAAATGAGAAACTAAGGCTGTTGGTGTCCTGGGCCCTGAGCTGTCTTCAGGCTTCTGCTGCCCATGTGGAGTAAGTGGAGGGTAACAGGCCCCCAGGTCAGCTGCTAAGCCAGGACAGGGGATCCCTATTCTTGTCCTGTTGAGAACTTAAAAACACACACACACAACCACATTTGGGGCGAACTTCTTGTCCACATCTGTACTGACTTTGCTGAGTCAGGTGAGGCTGTGGGGGTAGAGGCAGGTGGGAGTGGGGTAGATCTGGCTGGTCTGTCCAGCAGTGAGTGTGAAGGAGTGTGAAGGAGGGACTTTAAATATTACCAGGAGGAGGGTCCACTTGGGTGGTATAGCTTTGTGTGGGGCACTGGGGGAGCAGGTAGAGAAGGCTTCTTCCTGGCTCCAGGGAACAGAGAAGAGTGTGTGATGCTACAGGCATGTGCCCACAGGACAGCTGTGGAGGTGGAGACCCTGCTCCAGAACAATGGGCAGCATGCCCAGCCACTGGGGGGCCTAACCCGCGGGCAGCCAACCAGAGCCTCCTGCTAGTTGCACACAGCTGTCAGGGGGACCCTGCTGAGACACAGGTAAGTGGGCCTGGGATGGAGAACTGCTGGCCCAGAGCCCAGAGTCCTCGAGAGCAACGGTGCCTGGAGAATCAGAGTGGACAGTTTAGGGCAGCCTGCACACTCTCCAGTCCCTAGAGGACCCTTTCTCTAGTTCTCACCAGTCTCTCTGCCCCACAGTCCAGGATGACAGCAATTGGCTCCTGGGTGTGAGCCCAGCTGGAAGAGAAGACCCAAAGCCTGGTTGACTATGTGAGCGGGTTCTGGAACCTGGTGAGTGCTCCCTGCTAAGGAACATGTAGAGAACCCTGTGGCTTGGCCTGTGTCTGCAGCTCTCCTACCCAGGAGTGAAAGGCTAGAGAATGTTGTCTCCATAGTCTACCCCCTGATCTTGCCTTGGTTTCCCCACCTAGGAACAGCTGGTGGGTACTCTGGATAGGCGGCGGAGTGCCTGGTGCAACTGACCCAGATTGGGCTAGGGGATGTTCAGGTTGGTGACCAGATGGTAGCCACCTTGGGGACCTGAGGTCAGGCCTGGCACGTGCTGACACCTGGAGCAGCTGCAGAAAAAGCTGGAGTGTGAGTATTAGGGAGGGCACACCCCTGTCCTAGTCTAGCCGCAGCCCTAGTCCCAGGGCTAGGGTTTACCACTACCTAAGTCAGGAAAGCAGTCTAATTTCTTTAGACCCCAAACCTATTTCATAGGCTCCTGCAAGCTCTGTGCCCTTTTGGCATGCTTTCTCCATCCTTGTAGACTCCAAAGTAATGCCTGCTTGTGCCTGCTGCCCAGGCTCCATCTTTCCTCTGCCTGGCTTCTCTCATGCACACAGCCTTGCTATGAGGCTTCTGGGTCCGCCACTGGTGTCTGTGCATGGCCTCCAGTGAGTCTTCCATCCTGGTTAGCACACAGCCCTGCCCTGAGGACCCTGCTCCCAACAAAGCTGAGAACCTGGCCTCCCCATAATTAAGGGCCATCCTGGCCCTCCTTTCAGCCCCTGAGACCCTTGTCCAGGACTAAAACAGGCAGTGGGGACATGTCTGTTCCTACCTCAGTCAACTATGCCAGAGTCCCTGTGCTGGTGGCTGGCCAGGAGCATACAGGCATCCTCATGACTGTGACTCACTGCAGCCTAAGGGTTCAGAGCAGAGTTGTCAATGGGGAAACCCTACATGCAGCATCTAGAGCATCACTGGGTCACAGTGGATGTCATTGACTTCCCTTGGATTGAACTGTGATGCCCGTAGGAAGCATTCGCCAGGGAAACCGTGTGTGGACACACAGGCTTGTTACAGCTTTCCAGCTGGGGCGCACTTGCACAGTGGGGGTAGCAAGTCCTTCCCACCAATCCCAGGCAACCAGGTCAGCAGTCCTAGTGTGCCCTGCCTTACTTCTACCCCATCCCTCACTGCAGGGAACAGGCCTCCCATCCTCTAGGCCTAGGATGTTAGGCATGACAGGATTTCTTGGCTTGCACTGTAGAGGTTCTTATCTGCAGCCAGGAGCTCAGGGACCTTAGGCGATCACCTGCAGAGCCCCTGGCCACACTGAAGGGGCCTACTTGGAGGTGATGCTGCAGCTCCTGGATGAAGTGTGGCGAGCACAGGCTGAGGAGGTCAGGCAGTGGCTCCAGACCTGGCTGCTAGGCTGCAGGGAAGTTGGAGGCTAAGGCCCATCCGGATGGCCCTGGGAGCCATGATGGGTACCCTGGAGCTGGTGAGGGTGTGCATGATAGGGTGTGGTGGGGCTGGGCTCACTGACAGCTGTCCCTGGCCCCACCCAGGCCACCCACCATACACTGCCCTGGACTGAGGCTGAGGTCTCCTGAGTCCTGAGGCGGATCTACAAACCCTTACAGAGCATGTACAGTTACTCAGCCAGGTAAGTGGGGGTGGGGCTTGTGGGTCCTGTGTCCCTGCTACATGGCGGGACACAGCAAATGCTGAAACCTGGCCCATCTCACTTAGGACAACACTGCCACACAGGTGGCCCTCACTTGACAGGGGAAACTGAGGCTCAAGCTCTGCATAAGCTCTGTTCACATTCTAGTTAGTTTTGCAAGAGCCTTAGCTATGGGAAAGCCATTCTTGGGTAGCAGCCTAGATACGGTCTGAGGGGGCAGGGTCCCTGTCCCTGACCTATGCTTCTGAAAGCACTGATCAGTAAGCGGACTGAAGAGGCGGGACATATGTGATGGTGCAGTTTGTCTGAGAATGGAAATCCCCATTTCTCGTGTGATACACATTTCTGGGGGCCCACATATGTGTGCTTATGTACGTGAAGGCTTGAATTTGATAGAGGATAATCTTTATTGTTTTTTCACCTTATTTATTGAGGCAGAATCTCCCAATCAAACCCAGAGCTCCGATAGGACTAGTCTGGCTAGCTAGCTTGCTCTGGGGATCACCTGTCTCTGCCTTCCGAGAATGGAATTACAAGTGCTGTCATGCTCACCCCGCATTCATGTGGGGTCTGATCTCTAGTCCTATGCTTGAGTGGCAAGTGCCAACCACTGAGCCACTGCCCCAGCCCAGAAGGTGAGCTTTGAGCAGGGAGTTCCGGGTGGGGCACACAATGGTTCAGAAGCAGGGGCAAGGGCTGTAGTGCCATGGCACCTGTCTGAAGAATAGTAAGGAAGCCAGCAGGCCTTGAGCAGGCTTCAGGTGGCCCAAGGCCTTGACTCCTTCTTGGAAATGGGCACACACAAGGTTTTGGTTAAAAAAAAAAAAGATGGAACATATTGAGGATATTGAGGATAGATTATGAAGATGGACAGAGTGTAGGGTCCTATTTTGAACAATGTGGTTGAGTATGTGATGGCTGGAACAATGGCATCATGGAAGGGATGAGAGGCAGCTGGAATCCAGCTGAGTTTTTAACATTAACCCAAAAAGCACTGAGACTCAACTGGATGTAGGTGGTAAAGAGTTAGAGATGACTCCTATAAAGGGATGGAGGTCCCTTCATAGACAAGAGACAAGACTGCAGTGGCTTCTGTCTGCGTATAACCAATGCTGTGTAACCAGAATTGTGGTGGCTTGAACCACAGCAATTACTCTCATACAGTTTTGGAGGGCTGGGGACAGGGTGCTGGCACCTTGGATTCCGTTGAGTGATAAGGGATTAGCTATGGAGAAGTGGAATGCCTGCAGTTGCCCAGAGCAGGGCACAAAATCAAACAGCTGTATCCTTACTGCGGGGCCTTGGTCCATCTTTTGAAGACACTTCCCCAGACAGAGGAGGGCCCTCTCTAAAGGGATAGCCTGTTAATGTGATTCCCTTTCCTTCCTGTGACAACATCATCCTTCAGGGAAAGGAGGTGAGTGAGGCTCAGTGAGATATCCCAACTTCCTAGGGGATCCAGTCCCTCTGTGTCCTTTCCAGGCTACCACTCCTGCTGCTGGGAGACAAGTCCCTGGATGTGGCCCAGGTGGCCAGTTACCTGGTGGAGGAGAAACTCCTGCGGCCACTCCGCAGGCTGTACGAGGCTAATGTGCTGGCTGAGTTCTATGGGTTCTGGCGGCATCTACTGAGGAGGCCCTTCAAGCCTAAGTCCTGCCTGGCCTGTCCACCTCCTCCCTGGGAAGGCTTCTGCCTGTGGAGCAAAGGGCCTTGATGACAAACAGTCACAGGAAAGTCTGCTAAGCCCTGTGGTGTCATAGGCCAGCCCCACAAGTTCCCGGGCTCAGTGAGGTCATCTGAGGCTACAGGCCCTGGATTTTGTCCAGAATATAGCAGAAAGTACACAGCTGGGGGGCTCCTTCTGAGGCCAGCCTTCTCCCAGAGGGCCTTGATGGAGGAATAGAGCTGAGCTCCAGTTGTAGCTGGAAGACTGTTAATTGAATGCAGGCTTGCTAGGGAGACAGTGTCTGTAGCCTGGGGCCCCAGTATGCCTTTGGGAGGCCCCAGGAAGCCTGCATCTGGCTCACACTGCTGTGCAACTTCTTCAGCCTCAGTTTCCTCCGGTGTGGAGTAGAAGGGGCACCACAGCTGACTTGTGTGGGCTTTAGCACACCATCTGAGCCTGAGCCTTTCTACAGAGGAAGCACCATGCCAGGCTGGTGTGGGGAGGGTTACTGTGTGACAGACCCTTAGCCCAGGGTCTCAGGAGAGTCCCCCACATTTACCAGCACACTTGTTCCTGAGCAGCAGGTTTACTCAGTATTGAGCTGGCCTGGCCTCTTCTCAGATTACGCTGTGGTGGTGGGCACCAGATACCACCTGGCTCCCTTCTGCAGCAGCTTCCTGCTAGTCAAGGGCTTCACTCACCAAACATTCTCTCTGACACTGAGCCGCACGAGCTCAGGCTCCACAGCCCTTCACGTGGAGCTGAACCACACAACCCTCGTTCTGTATCCTAGCCTGAAGGTACATGCTCTGGAGTGGGAGCGGCTCCCTGGAGCTGCCTGCCTGCATGTTGCCTACAGGTTTGGTGCTGGAAGTGATTTCCGGCTTACCCCTGTGTGGTCCACAGGCTCACAAGCAGGCTTGCCTGGCCTCAGGACAGCTGCTGAGGTTTAGACCCACCTCCTGCTATGCTGAACACTGGGCCCAAGGTTGAGCTGAGCAGCAAGGATGGTGTGTCTGTCTCCTGTGATGTGCCAGCAGGCCTCTGCAGCCTGACACTGGGCCTGTGGCACCATGGTGGGTCCGGGCATGGTGCTACCCACAAGGGCATTTTCTAGCTACCCTGTGGCCAGACTTCAGGGCTGAGGGTGATGTGCCCCTTTCTCAGTAACACTGTTGTTGTCGTCAACCCTGGTGTGGAAGAGCAGAGGCCAATGGGAAAGAGATGGAGACTTTTGCTGACTGGCCACTTCCCTGCTGTGGTGGCAGTGACTGTTGGCCTCCTTTCTAGTGCGACACAGCTGTCTACTTCTCAGTTCTGGTGGTTCCTTACATTACAGAGTCACTCAGCAGAGGCTGAGTGACTCACTCCCTCTCCCAGGGCCAGTATCTGGCCCAGGCTTCTGAGCCAGCTTAGCTCTGTCCTCTGGGGACAGTCCATACAGATTGAAGTCGACTCTTATAAAGTACCCATCTTGCAGCCAGACCCCTAAGAGGTGCCAGGAAAACTTGCTAACTGGCCCTGTGGGCTGGGAAGTGGGGGAAACAGTGCAAGGCACAGATACCATCTTTAGACCCCCTTTCCCCTCTCCCCCACTTCTGAGAGGTCTGGTGTCTTGGGGAGGGGGAGAGGGAGGCTTTCCCCAGCAGGTCCCTCCCTGTCCTACAGGTGTTTCTGCTGGCCTCCTGGGTACCAACAATAATAAGGCAGATGACAAGCTAATGCTGCCAGATGGCACGGAAGCTGCCAACCTAGAGGAGCTCACGCAGGCTTGGCAGGTAAGCTGCAGGAAAACCCTTCCTGCTGCATCTACCCCTAGGCTCAGTGGAAGACAGCTGCTCAGGTACAGAATGAAGCAGGAGCCCCCATGCTCCACCCAAGGATACAGGCATCTCTTGCTGAGGCTGATGCATTCTAGTCAGTGTGCCCAAGAGAAAAGTGGTGTTCTCGGAGGCTTGAGTCTTTGTGTTCCCATCCAGATGGGTGAGAACTGTGGTGCTGTAAAGAGGATGCAGGAGCCATGCTCAGGACACAGTACCACCTGCCAGGCCTTCTTCCAAGAACCCCGCTCCAGTCTGGGGAACTGCTTCCAGGTGGTGAGTGTGAGGCTGGGCCTGGCCAGAGGCCACTCAGCAGAGAAACCACAAATTGAAAGAATCTAGCCTATGCAGTGATAGGCTCACACAGTGATGGGCCAGCCTGGTTTCAGGTAGACCCTGATCTGTTCCTCAGACTGTGTGTCCAGGATAACTGTGACCCCTGGAGCTGCAATCTGCCTGTCACCTGGCAGCTGCCTACATCTACCTGTGTGCCTTGGCCCTTCCTCTGCAGTGTGGTGAGTTCTCATCCAGGTTCCATCCCAAATGGAAAACCAACGCCATTCTCTGAGCTCCTACAGGGATGACACAGTGAGCACAGAGTCCTAGCAATGCTATGTGCAGAGTGATTCTTATGAATAAAGAGCTAGCCTGGTTAGCAGGGACAGGAGGAATGCTAATTTGAGATCAGCCTGGGCTATGTAGCAAGACTCTGTCTTAAGAAAACTAAATAGGGCTGGAGAGATGGCTCAGTGGTTAAGATCACTGGTTGCTCTTGCACAGGATCTAGGTTTGGCTCCCACATCCACATAGTGGCTCACAACTGTCTATAAGTTCAGTCCCAGAGGAACTGATGCCCTGACCGTCACAGGTACACACATGGTGTACAGACAGACATGAAGGGAAAACACTGATATATAAAATAAAAACTAATAGTTTCTTAAAAAGAACATAAAGCAAAGACAGTTGGGGAGATAGCTTGGCAGGTAAAGTGTTTGCCCTACAAGCATGGGTTGGATCCCCAGAACCAGGAGAAGAAGGTGGGTATGAGGGATGCTTGTTACAATAGCACTGGGGAGGCAGAGACAGGGATATAGCCATGGTACACTGGCCAGTGTAGGCCTGCCTAGGTCTAATTAGGATATCTCTGGGCCACTGAGATCCTGTGGGGGGGTGAATATTGCTTGAGGATTAAAGGGGTAGCACCTGAGATTAACTCCTGACCCCTCACATGAGCACACACACAAAAAAAAACTGAAGATGCAGAGGCCTAGAGACTACCACCAAGCCAAGTGTCTTGAGCACCCTAAGGACTCTCAGAACCTGTGCTAGTAGCTCTGAGGTGTAGCACTGTGCCTGTGACCCTGACACAGAGTGGCGGCTGACATTACATTTGTTTCTTGATCAACCAAGAAGTCAGAGTGGCAGTTAACAACAGTGAGACATGCCTGAGACCTCCACACCCTGAACTCCTGGGGGGTCTTTGTTTTGTTTTGTTTTGTTTTTGAGACAGGGTTTCTCTGTGTAAGCTTAGCTGCCCCTGGCTGTTCTAGAACTCATTGTGTAGACCAGGCTGGCCTCGAACTAGAGATCCACCTGCCTCTGCCTCCTGAGTGCTACAATCAACAGTGTGCACCACCACTGCCCAAAAGTCTTGGACAGAAGACACTGAAAGATGAATAGCATGTCAAAAGAAATTTCTAGAAGTAATGTGGGCTTTGGGTGCATGAAGCACAAGTTAAAATGTAAAACAGAAGAGAAAGTTAGTGAAATGGGAAATGTGGCATGGGGTGTGGAATGAGGACAGAGACCTATGAGGCTAGAGAGCCCTTATCAGGAAGCATATGATGTCCCAAATACTCTTACTAGGTCAGAGCACAGCTGCAAAACCAAAGGGGACAGAAGGACTTGGTCCAGCTGTATGTAGCGAGAAACCCTGTCCCAATAAAAACACGGGCAGTGCCTGAGGAACCACCTAGCTACTGTCCTCTGGTCTTCACGCGCATGCACATATGCTAAAGTGGTGTTTCTGCTTGCAGCCCCCCCAAACCTTGTGCAGACTTCAAGGTAGCTGCCAGGGCCAGCTTCCACCTGGGAATGGAAGAGAAAGGGCAGAGCTTGTCTGAATTGTTCCCACTCATCTGGGACTGTGTGCGGACTTTTTCTGTCTCACCCCACTCTGTGCTGGTGTAGTTTGGGTACCTGGATGGAGGCAGTGGTGGGGACTGCTGCAGAACTGTGGGTGGCGAGGGTAGCCAACCACAGTGCCACCAGCCTCTCACAGCTGAGAATACCTGGAGTTAGAGGAAAGGTCTCAGGGTCCCACAAGCTGAGCCACAGAAGTCCTTCCTTATGCTTAGGACATATGCAAAGACTGCAAACATTCTGTGTTCGTGAAAGGAAGGTGTGTGCTCAAAGGAACATGATAGCCCCAGGAACCCACCTTCCAGAGTCTCCACATTCTTTATAGGGGCATTTAAATGCTGCCCTTGTACACACGATAAGCTGAACATCACTGTTAAACGTCTACACACAATCAGGAAGATGAAATTAGTAAATGTCTAGAACTACAAACTATAATAACTGGATAGAAAGATTTGATGGAAGAGTTGAGGAGCTGAACTAAAGAACCCGCTGGAATAACTGATTCTGAGGCACAAAGGGACAAAGAAAAGTGACTAGAGAGCTGGGGAGGAGGCTCATAGGCAAAGCACTCACCACACAAGCAAGAGGACTTGAACAGATCCCCAGAACCAACATGGAAGCAAGCCAAAGCTGGCACAGGCTTTTACCCCAGCACTGGGGAAGTATAGGCAGGCAGGTCCCTGAGGCTCCCTGGCTGGCCAGCCAACCTCAGCTAATCAGCAAACTCAGTGATAGACCCTCCCTTTAAAAAAGGAAGGAAAGGAGGGAGGGGGAAGGAAAGAGGGAGGGAGGGAGGAACAAATGAATGAAGGAAAGGTGTGTGACGCCTGAGGAGGGGCACCTGTACCTGAGGTATACCTCAGGACTTCACACTTAACATAATGCACCCATAAAGGACTCTAAGCCAACAACTAAACTTTATACCTTCAGGTATCAGAAAAAGAAAACCAAATCTAGAGCTAGAAGAGAATTCAGACTTGAGCAGAAATAAGATGGGATATGAAGTGGAAAATGAGTAAAATCTACAAAAAAAAAAAACCTTTAGTTATACTAATAAGAGAAGACTCAAGTAACTGGTATCAGAAATGAAATAAAAAAAATCTAAACAGACAGAACTACTAAGGAGATTGAACCACTGGTTTAAAAATAAAAACAGGGCCAGTAAGAGGGCTCACGCTTGGCTACATAGTTTGAGGACAGCCTGGGTTAATAAGACCCTGTCTCAATCAATCAAGAAAGAAAAGAATCCAGCTTAATCAATGGAAGCTATTTAAGAGGTTGCGTGGACTGCTCTGGGGTCTGTGCCCATGAGCTCATGGGCCCATATTTCAGCACCTTGACATCCTCAAGTTAGGGCTGGCTCCTCCTGACAGTAGACAGAAGTCCCTGAGATGTTCCAGACCATTCAAATGTCAGCACCTGGATCCCTCAGGACTCAACTCCAGCATGACCTGTTTTCTCCCTGTACTGGTTCAGGCATACACACACACACCCCACTGGCATGGGCATATTCTCTGCTCCCAGAGCCTCAGGTGCCGACCCTCAGCTCTTCCTCGAGTGGGGTACTATATTGTGGTCTTCCCAGTTGACATGGAGCCCTTGGCAGACACTTGCTGCGTTTTGGGGTATCTCTGTGGGTAGTTGAGTGCTTGATGCCTATACACTGTCCCACGGTGTGAGGAAACCACAGCCCATGCCTGCTGTGCTTACAAAGTAAGATGGTAATGGATAGGTGATTGTCCTTTTAATCAGGGCCAGGGGCTACCAGAGAGCCCTGGTCTACTTCCAGGAAATAGCAGGATCTTCCTTCTAGGCTTCACAGCACAACCTTACTTCTCTTTTCTTATAGTTTGAGATTTTGCACAAGTCAACACAGGGCTACCAAAGATGTCAAGCTCTTCTCTGGAAGGGGACCCACTAGTGAAGAATGCCAGCAATCCAAGACAAAAACAGCAGAAAGGAAGAGCTGGGGCTCAAGCCCACTCTAGTGTCCCTGGGGCTGAGGGGCTCCCAGCTGGCCCTGGGAATTCATCCTGAAACTCCACTGGATGGCTACAAGCCAAGGCACTTACCTCTGCAAAGAAACTCGTCCCCAGAACCCACACTCATGCAAAAGATACTGCTTCACTCCCCCAGAAACTGATTCTGCAACCCGAGCCTTGGGATGGCAATGACCTGGAGGGTGCAAGGCTGTTTGGCACAGGCTTCCCCTGCCACCTTGGGGATCTCAGAAGGTACGAAGTTCCTGGAGGGGACCCATGGACTCAAGACTGGTTAGGGAGCTTCCTTCTCTAGGATGGACACACAAGATGCTTCCAGGGCATGGGGAGAAGATTCCTTTTCAAAGGACATGTGACATATATATATATATATATATATATATATATATGTATATATATATATATACATATATATATATATATATATCAGGGGGTCTTGTTGTTTATTTCTCTTGGGGAATAGTTTTTTTGTTTGGTTTTGTTTTTTAAGTTTTCAACTGCAAAATAAAGCTGTGGGAATTCAGGATTGTGTCTATGGGATTGATTTTGTGCCAGAGCAGAGGCTTTGGTGCTATGAGCCTATCTACCAGGAGGGGGCGCCTTTGAGCCCTTTTTACACTGAAGCATGTTTAGGTTATCCCCGAGCTTTCTGCAGGCTAGGACTAGCACTCAGCCACTGAGCCTCTGCACAGTCTGGGAAGGGTCAGATTCCAGAACAAAGGACAAAGTATGTTTGGCCAGAAATGGGACAAAGAGAAGGCAGGAAGGCTGGCACCAAGGTGTCTCCAAAGATCTCTGGAGCAGAGGGAGGTGAATCTAGTCTTTTCAGCCCCCAGAGCAGTGGTTCTCAACCTTCCTAACGCTAGACCCTTTAATACAGTTCCTATTGTGATGACTCCAACCACAAAGTTATTTCATTTCTACTTCATAGTTGTAGTTTTGCTGTTATGAATCATAAAGAGAATATCTGATATGTGACCCTACGAAAGGGTCCTTTGACCCCCACAAAAGGTTGACCCATAGGCTGAGAAACACTGCTAGGAGGCTGCACTCACTGACAGAGAGCCTGCATCTTATCCTAAGTTCTACCCCAAAGACCTCGCTGACTCCAATTGCTCAGGATGATTTGAAAGATGTGTGGCTTTTACAACAGCCCAGTGATCCCTCCTAGCACGTTCTTCCTGGTTCCTTTATTAAGGAAGCCAGCCTGGAGCTCAGATGTCACTAAACTAGACCTGTTTGCCTCCCAGGCCCACTCACCCCACTTTGCATCATGACTCAGCAGGTAAAGGTAGTCCCTGCCAAACCTGACAGCCAGAGTTCAATCCCCAGGACTACATAGAACGGACTTCCTTCAAGTGTCCTCAGACTCCCACATGTACACCCCCTTCCATATGTGTACCCGTGCACAGCACCCCTCTCCGGT